TGATGAAGTCACTGGCATTTCCACATTCTCTAACCTTTGAACAAGTAACAGGACAGGGGCTTTGCATAAGTAAAGTTCCCACTGCCAAGGCTTTTCTTTGCAATTCAATTTATCCTCCGACAACTGCTGCAGAGCACCTAATCCCCACAATGATACCTGGTGGGCACGCTCCTCGGGGTTAACTCCTTGTGCACACACAACAGTTCTAAAGGACTCCAATGGATGTTGTGTCCTCATCAGACTGGTACCCGGCTCCTTTACCATGACTACCAAGGTCTCCTAGATAGGATGGGGCAGGATGCTGGTCTGATTAGAATAAAAAGGGAGCCCATGGGCACCCTCACACTCAGCATTCTCCTAGGGGCGAGCCTCTCAGGGTTGGAGACAGGAACTGCCTCTCTGTCCCAAAGTGAACACTACTTTGCTTTGAGAGAAGCTATAGATGCTGACACAGAATGTCTAGAGACCTCAGTCTCCCACTTGCAGGGCTCCCTCTCCTCACTGGCTGAAAGGGTTTTACAAAACAGAAGGGGACTGGACCTACAACAGGGAGGATTGTGTGCAGCTCTGGAAGGAGAATGCTGTTTCTGTATAGACCATTCAGGACTTGTAAGGGATACCATGGCAGATGCAGGAGGGACTTACAAAGAGAAAGAGAGAAAGGGAAGCCAATCAAGGATGGTTTGAATTATGGTTTAATAGTTCCCCCTGGTTGATTACTCTCATCTCCACTCTGACAGGACCCCTGGTAATCTTGCTGATACTGCTGACTTTTGGACTATGTACACTCAATAGGCTAGTCCAGTTTAGGAAGGAAAGATTGGGGACCATCCAACTTATGGTGCAGCGCTCTCAAAACTATAGACCTCTCAGGACAGAAGATACCTACGAACTAACTGTAAGAGACCCAGGACTGGGTCAGTCAACAAGAAAAGAGGGGAATGAAGGAACAAAACCAACTCCATTTTGCGCTAGGCCCCAAGGTAGATATCAGCAAAGCGGGAAGTCCCCTAGGCTGGAGCCAATCAGAGGGTCACCGTATCCCTTATGCCCATAACTGTAGATTGTGTTTTTTTGCCCCTGCTTAAGAATGGTGGGGCACCTCCTCTGACCCCGCTGCATTGGTGTGCGATTAAACCTTGCTTTTGCATTTTGGTGAGTCTGCCCCTGGTGGTCTTCTAAAGACCTGGAAGCAGCACAGTTCTAAAGCTGCAGAGAAAATGAATCACTGTATACTCATGACCACGTAAGCAAAGACGTGGCCTTAAAAGGATTGATGGATGCATAGTTAAATGCAAACAGACTTCTAAGTTAGTGGGATTACAGGTCATTTTTAAAGATTTCATTTTTAAGTGTGTGTGTGTGTGTGTGTGTGTGTGCGTGTGTGTGTAACATGGGTTTGTGCATGTGGGTGTAGCACTCATGGAGACCAGCAGGAAATGTTAGACACCTTGGAACTAGAGGAGTTACAAGCAGCAGTGGGCTATCTAGCATGGGTACTGGGAACCAAACCTGGGTCTTCAAGAGCAGTGTGTACTCTCAACCTCTAAGCCATGTCTCTGGCCCCATGCGTGATTTTTTTAATCCTTTTATACATAGCTCTAAGTTTTCTATAATGAATACATATACCACTTACATCCCTGAAAAGGCTATAGTTTTAAAAGCTGCTTCATTCGTGTGCTGGCTTGAAGTCTTAACAGTCTTTTCAGGGTGACTCTACCTTACCTGAATCAGCTGTCAACTTGACATAACCCAGAGTGATTTGGGATTGCCTAGATCAGACTGGCCTGTGACCATATCCAGGGACATTGTCTTCATTGCTAATCAATGTAGGAGAACCCAGCCCACTGTAGGTGGTGCTATCCCCTAGGCAAGGGGACCTGGCTTGGATAAGCTTGCTGAGCAACCCAGAGGGAGCAAACCACTAGCAGCCTTCCTCTGTTTAATCCCTGTCTAGACAACCCTCAATGAGGGGTTGTGGTGTGGAAGTATAAGCCAAACCCTTTCTTCCCCAGCTTGGTTACGGTCAGTGCTTTATCACAGCAGTGGGAAGGAAACCAGGACAGAGAACTTGGGACCTGGAAGAAGTTGTGACTGATGGGGCAGAAGATGAGTTTTGATGTTTCCCAGCCTAACACTGGGTGTGGAAGTGGGAGCAGTGGAGAAAGGTGCTTAGCCAACATTCTCTGTGGGTGTGACCACTTCCTGCCTAGAAGGGAAGGTTGTTGTACTCTGTCCTGGTTTTTTCTGAAATGGGGCTACATAGAGCGTGGAAAAACTTAATCACCTTATATACTGAGGAGTGAGGTCAACAAGTGTCCCGAGAATTGCTGAAGGAGCAGCCTCACAAAGGCATGTGGTTGCACTCTAAATATTTGATATTTTTGCTTCCAAAGGTCATCTGTTCCCAAGACCCACATGGAACTGTATTCATCAGATTAGGATTACCACAAAATAAATGAGGTAACTTCATAAAGAAAGGTTAATTTACCTCACAGTTTGGGAGTTCCAGGGCATAGTGTCTGCCTCAGCTCAATTTTGGTAACGTCATGGATGATAGCACATTGTAGCGACAGGCTATGTCAGGGGAAGCAGGCAGCCACATCTTGAGGTAGAAAGCAGAGAGGAGAGGGGTAGAGTCCCAGAATTCCTTCCTAAGCCTATCTCCTGATGGCCTAAGCATCTCTCAACCTCACTTCCTGAAAGTTCACAGCAACGCCCAGTGCCTGTCTTGGAGGACCAAACATATGAGCCTTTGGTGGACATGATATCTAGACCATAGCAGTAGCCAGTGGTGGCTTTGTGCTGACGTGGTCAGGGTGAGACCTGATGTCTGTTTTGTGCTCTGTAGTGGCAGACAGCTCCCATGATGGCTCCACTGAAGAGACAGAAATGTCCATTTCAGGGAACATACAATTCTAACTGGAGAATGGCCACACTGGGTTTCCCATGGCTGAATTCACCCGGGACTCTCTACTGAGTATTGGCGGCTGAGATTTATTTGGCCAGCTCAGATGGGTGACTGTTCTCCATGTTGCTATTACAGAATGGAAGGACCTTCCATTGGATCCAATGGAAGAGATCACTGAGATTAGTCAACACAGAGCAGTCAGGGATGGGGAGATGGTTCAGCGAGTAAGAGCAGGTATGGACTCGATTCCCAGCATCCACATGGCAGCTCATAGCCATCTGTAGTATAACTCTAGTCCCAGGGGATCCAACACATTTTTTCTGGCCTCAGCAGGCACACTATATGTACATGGTGCACAGACATAGATACAGGAAAAAACACAAATCTACATCAAAGGAAATATTTAAGAAGAAGTAGCTGTCCCATTGTGAGTCTACACAGCATTACCGAGTCATAACCCTGCAGAGCCAGTCTGTGTAACAGAACTGAGGACAGAGCCATACATGTGAAGACCTGCTGATGGCTGGAAGCATGAAGGAACTTCTGGCACATGCCAAGACCACTGCTGAGGATTTCTTCATCTGAAAATCCATGTAGTTTGAAGCATCTGCCTTGCAATCAAGCAATTCAGCCCGAGAGCCAACAGGGCACCCCTAAAGATGGATAGCCGGCAGGACACCCCTAAAGATCACCACTCGGCTCCCGGTAAGCATTTGCTGCAGTGAGGAACTGGCTGCCTCTGCAGAACACTCCAGAGTGTCCAGCTGAGGTTGGTGGAAAGCACACTCAGAGGACTGTGGTGCAAAGAGCACAGAGGAACAGGTTAGTCACCATGAGAAGCAGAGAGCATGGAGCCCTAAGGATGCCGTTATAGGAGCGTTATACCTGTTTCCTTATAGCCAATGTGGTGGTTTGAAAGAAGATGGTCCCCAAAGGAAGTGGCACTATTAGGAGGTGTGGTCTTGTTGGAGTGGGTATGATCTTATTGGAGGATGTGTGTCACTGTGGGGGCGGGCTTTGAGATGTTTTTCTCAAGCTTTAGCCAGTGTGACAATTCAGTCAACTTCTTGTTGCCTGCAACATGTAGGACTCTCAGATACCCCAGCACCACATCTTCCTACATGATGCCATGCTCCCTGTCATGATGATAATTGACTGAACCTCTGAAACTGTAAGTGAGCCCCCTCAGTGAAATGTTTTCCTTATACAAGTTGCTGTGGTCATGGTGTCTCTTCACAGCAATAGAAACCCTAACTAAGACAAGAGAAACCCTAACTAACTAAACAGTCAATGTTTCTCTTTTTTCCTGACAAAGAGTAGAAGATTCAGAAATATTTCATAGTCTTCGTTAGCACAAGAGGGTAATATGCTGGTCTGTTGTATCATGCATTATTTCTCCTTCTTGTTGGCCCTGTTGTCATCGAGTGGGCTAGACGGCTTGGTGGATACACATGAGGATCTGAGTTCAGACCCCCAGCAGCTGTCTAAAGCTAGGTGCGTGTCTGTAACCCTAGCACTGTGGGGGAGATAGGAGGATACCGGGGAGGTTTGCTGGGTGTTCAAGCCCAGTCAAAATGTTGAGCTCTGGTTTCAGTGAAGAACCTCCATATCTGGGCACAAAGATATACAACACTCAGTTGTAGCACATACATTCATCTTAGCACCTATACCAGATGGCTTGTGTTCTCAATAAATTAATAATCATAATTTAGACTTGGTTGGTAGAAGATTGGGGAAGGCAAGGGTTGGGGAGTCAGTGAATTTCACTAATCAGTGGTTTCAGTAGTTCAGTGTGTTAGCTCCCGTGTTATGAATGTTATATGTCTCTTCACTGAAGAACATGCCCCTCAAGGGCAGGACTGATTTACTAAACTTCATTGTGGTTCGCATGCTGAGCACACAGATAACCTCTAAGCATGCGCTCAATAATTTTCTGTAGGATATCGGGTTGCCGATTACACCGTGAGCAGGTGCTGAGGAGATAATATTATTAGCAGTGATCATCAGCCCTTGGTTTTCCTTGCTTGTAAGACATAATTTGAAGATTACATTGCGTTTATTTAATCCCACGAACTGTATCGATTTTACATATTTTAAAGTTTTGTATTCATAAAGTGCTCTAAACAAGATTTTCTTCTTACCAATTGGGAAAAAGTGTTTCTCTAAAATGCATTTAATTCTTAGTGGAAAAAACAATATTAACAAAAGCTTTGTGTGCATTTTAACAATTGTTCATTTTCTTCAAGAAATGGGATTTTTATAAAAAATACATGTGTAGCAATGAATAGCAAAGCGATGTGTCTGTATGCTTGGAATTAAAAATGAGATTGGTTTTTGAATGTGTGCTGATGGTGTCCTGATTTTGAATGGGGAAGGGAGATACGTTGGGTTCTCTGTGCTTTCAAAGGTGCATTCTCTCGATGTGCAGGGTTAGTAGTCAGGGCAACCATTCAGGCTGACGGATCCCTGAACTTTTGTGGCGTCAGTGATGGGGACAGGGATGTGGTTGACTTGAATATTCTTCAGACAGCCAAAAAATGAGTTCCACACAGGGAGCGTAAGCATTTTCAATTTGTCTGAAAAAAGCAAAGGGAGAGACAGTCAGTGGAGAGCTCCTACAAGGCTCCGCCCACCTGGCTGCTCCCTGACTCCGCCCACCTGGCTGCTCCCTGACTCCCTCCCTGTGGTACACTCCACAAAGCTGTCTTTTGCCTGTAGGGAAGGAAGTTCCACAGCCTGAATCAATAGATAATAACTCTCAACCATGCTCCCTTTCATGGGTTATAAAAGGACTATAAAATTAACAAGCAGACTACCTGAAGGGCCATAAAACAAGAAAGAATGCAAAGGCCCCTTCCCGCAATGTTTTGGTCTTTGAAGTGATCCCATCTCAACCTGACCCATTCCCCCTTTGGCCTCCACAGTCAGCTGATTGCCTGGGGAAGAAAGACCATTATTTTTTTGTCAACTTTCTTGATTATTTGTTGACATAGGCTTCTGAGCTAATGGAACCTCTTAATGGAGGACTGTAAATTACAGGCTTGGGACCAGGGCAAGCAGTAGTCACATGACCTGCACTACCCTGAGATGTGCCCAGATCCTGCTCTTCTCTTTATCACGTGCATTGGGGTGCCTTAGTTGTTGGGTTAAGAAGAAAATGTCCAGAGTTGCTGGGGTGTAACACGGGTGTAGAGTTACTGACCTGGGACCCCTCCGATGTGCAGTGCCCTTCGGGTGCTGTTAGGGGGGAAGGAAAGCTGCCCGGCTGTGTAGCTGCTGTCGGTGTCCAGTTTCAGGTGCAGGACATGCTGTTTAATGGAGACTGGAGGAGAGGAAGCTGGTTAGGTCGGTCACCTGAGGAGGGGCCTCCCACTGTCTGACGTCCCCACCCTTGTGTCACTGTTGTCTTTGAACTCGCTCCCACTGGACCCTGGACCTGTCTGAAGGTACTTGGTCAGCCTTGGGTAGAGTGGTATATTATTTGTGTTTTAATAAATAAAGCTTGCCTGAAGATCAGAGTGCAAAGCAGCCACACTAGTCAGCCATACAGGCCATGCCTTTAGTCCCAGCACTAAAGAGGAATATAAAATGGGAGAAGACAGTCTCAATCTGACGGTTCCTGGAGGCAGGGTCACCCATTTTGGTCTCAGGTAGAGGTAAGAGCCAGCGGCTGGCTTCTTTGCTTTTCTCTTTGCTTCAGCTTGAACCCCAACATCTGCCTCTGGGCGTTTATTATTTATACTACACTTGGGTAGAAATTCAACACATGACTCAATTGCAGCCAGGGTTTGGTGTTCTATGGACATTGCTAAATTGAAGCCCTAAACTGAATCTGTGGGGTTGAAGAGCTAGCAAAGTTGGTAAAGTGACTGGCTTGCAAGCACAAGGACCCAAGTTCCAGTGCTCAGCCTCTACCTAGAAACAAAAAGGGCTACGTGTAGTTCTACGTTTGCAATCCCAGTGTCAGAGAGGCCGAGCCAGGCAGATCCTGGGGCTCACTCACCAGTCAACTGAGACTACCTAGCAAACTCCAGGCCAATAAGGCCTGGTCTCAAAGACCAAAGTGGTTGGCGCCTGAGGAATGAAAGCCACTTTTGGCATCTGGCTTCCACAGGCGTGTGCATGCATGTAACCTGCACACACAAGAACACAAATGTACACACACACACATCATTACACTACTCACCAAGACACTCACTGAGGGCTGAGCAGGGATGAAGCCCAAGCTCTGGTCTTCTCTTGTCTCCAGAAGCCATACGTGATATGGCCTCAGCTACTGTCTCAGAAGCCAGGGTTAGTCTATACAAACGTTGACCCTCAAAACATAAGTTCTCCTATCTTGATAATTGTATCTAACTGAAAGACAGCTTTCAATTTAGCCAAGAGAGGACTGCTTTTTACAAAAAAAAAAAAAAAAAAGGTGTTTTAGCCAGTCTAGGCTCAGATATTTCTATTCTTGATCTTAGCCAAAAGGGCAAGAAGAGATAGAAATTTGTTTATCATTTACTTACTTGTTTATGGAGTCTCATATTGGCCTCAAACTTACTACGCATCTCAAGATGACCTTGAACTCTGACCCCTAACCCTCCTCCTTTCCAATGATGTGTCACAGGTGTCCATTGCCATGGCTTATGGGGATGAACCTGGGCTTTATGCACGCTAGGCAAGCATTCTACCAGCGCCAGGCACATTTATCTCTAAGATAATACCACAAGTTATTACTAAAATAACAGATTCTGAGAGGGTGTGTTCACTTTCCACCAGTGTTTAGTTCAAATACTTTGAGTTAATATTGAATAATTGTTGAAAAATAACAACAATCCTTAAAAATCCAACAGCAAAACTAGATGCTCCCTACTAGATGTTCACTACAGATCAGGTGCGAAGATGCTCACTGCATGCTCACTACAGACCAGGTGCGAAGATGCTCACTGCATGCTCACTACAGACCAGGTGCGAAGATGCTCACGCATGCTCACTATAGATCAGGTGCAAAGATGCTCCCTGCATGCCCACTATAGATCAGGTGCAGAGATGCTCCCTGCATGCCCACTATAGATCAGGTGCAAAGATGCTCACTGCATGTCCACTGCAGATCAGATACAGACCATGACTTTATACACACTCCTTCATTTACCCTTCAGAAGCCTACACCATTTTTATCTTCATTTTACAAATGAGAAAACAGCATTAAGGAGTGTATAACTAACTTGCCCATAGTAAGGGATGGGATTTAAAGCTAGTCTCTCTTTTTTAAATTTGTGAGGGGTGGTGTGTGTGTGTGTGTGTGTGTGTGTGTGTGTGTGTGTTTGTATGTACAGTGCCAGAGAAGCCAGAAGAGGGCATAAATCACCAGGATCTAGAAATGCAGCTTGCTGTAACCCACTCGTGTGTTCTGGGGATCACACTCATGTCCTCCAGAAGAGCAAGAAGTGCTCTCACCCACTAAGTCATATCGCTATCCCCAGAAACTTGGCTTTTTGTTGTTGTTGTTCCCATGCAATTCAGAGCCCAAACCTAAACCACAATGCTGTTACTACCCTAAACACTAAAGCAGCTTATCAGTTTTCTGGGCAGGGCTGGGCTGACCAGAATCCTCCATAAGCTTCCAAACCCCAAACACAGCACATGGGGAACTAGAGGAAACAGCCATAAAAATAATCTAAGCACAGCTGGGGTTGGAAACAGATAAGGAAACTGGGGGTGAGAACTTGCTCTAGTACCTGGTCCAGCACCACCCTTCCTGTGGATGGACTGCACCAAAGGTCACCAGTGTCATACCTGTCACTGAGTGCCACTGTCCATCACACAGAGACTGCTTTGGTGTGATTGATGTCGAGGTCCCGCCTGCCTCACTGTTCATAGAGGCTGTGACCTGAAACACAGAAACATTTGGCTATTTCCTCCAGAAGGGCTCGTGGGGCCAGCTTACCCTGTCCTCTTCCCCAGGAGCATGCTGGATGTTGGATCCCAACTCCTGTACTGGGTGACCACACAATGCCCAGAGCTTCCAAAAATTCCTTGCTCACACTCGTTCCAGGCAAACAAACCAAACTACAAACCCAGGTCCTGCCTAGACAGCTGGCAACAGCCATGCTTGCCTGCCTCCCCAAGTCCTCAGAGGTTCCTGACGACATCCATCTCTCCTCAGCAGCTCATGTACAGCAGTGCCTCTGCAGACAAAAACACCTCAACTTTGGAAGGCAAAAATGTGGCAGAGGTCCACACCTTGCTGCAAGAACTAGCCAATCATAGTAATCCCCCCCCCCCAAGAGCACGGTACATCACAGGGCTCTCATCCAGGACATTAGGCTACAGACTGTACTGAACAGGACATGTGTCAGGTGCCAGGCGCTTGGCACATTGTAGGCAGAATCCCACCTTCCCACTCTGCAGGCTGGAGACTCCTTCAGGAATTCCAAGGATTGAGTCAAGGTGAATAAAATGAGAAGGCTAAAATAAGCGTATTTATAAATAATTTATCTCCGATTTGCCTGTAGCCGCATGGGGCAGGCCACTCTCAAGCAGGTTTTGAGCTAACCAATGTCCCTGCAGTTATGAAGGTCACCAAGTCTTGATTTCGTCTTTTTGGTGTCACTTCCTTTCTGGAGGCGGTCACTGAAGACCCTCCCTAAAGCCCTCCTCTGAAAAGCCAGCCACCACATGCCCATCACCCATGCAGGCATTGCTTCTTCCTTTGCATGGTGGAGACTCACACGGACTTAATGTCTACAACTTCAGCGTGAGTAAGATCTACGGGCAGTTGTTGGCTGCTGGGGAAGGAGTGTCATTTTCTTCAGAGGGCTATACACTGGCAGATTGTCTATGGCCCGGCAAATACCCCTCACCAATGAGTCCTGTGAACAAAACCAGCTCAGCTACCTGGGTCCCACAAACCAAAGAGACAAGAAAGTTGAAGAGGGTAGGAGGGGCCCAGAGAGAATCATGGGTAAATATGATCTGAATTCATTATGTTCACTCATAGTAATGTCATTAGGAAACCCATTATTGTGCATAATTATCATATGCTGATTAAAAACTTCAAAAACAGGACATAGTGGCTGGGGCCAGAGTATGGTGCTGAAATAGACTTCCTTGCATAGAATTCAGAGACTCTGCATTTGATCCCTAGAAATAGAAAAAAAAAGTATTCTAGGAGTTTGAGCCATTTTATTGTCATCTGGGACATTCTCCCCATTTTTAATAAACTGTAGAAAGCTAAATGAAAGAAAATGGTACAACATTCATCTTTAACTTAAGGCCTTAGCTACAGAGAAGATTTCTGAAAGAATTTCATTTCAAAGATATAAAATGTGGTTGTTGAAAATGGGATATTGACTTGGGCCCGTGAGGGATAGGAATGCAAGGCAGCAAAAGAATTGCTGGAGGAAAAATCCATGAAAAGCCACAGGAGAGATGGTGTGGTAGCCAGTGAGCAGCTTTGCCACAGAGACCAGAGCACAAAAGTGCAGAGAGAGAGAGACAGAGAGAGACAGAGAGGAGAAAGAGAGAGAGAGAGACAGAGAGAGAGAGAGAGAGAGAGAGAGACAGAGAGAGAGAGACAGAGAGAGAGAGAGAGCGCACGCGCAGAGGCTCCAGAGCAGATTCCATGGGCTCAGGGCACTAGCAATGGATGTGACCTGATGTAGTCTTGGAGGAGAAGAAAAGAAGGGACACAAACATGGGTGGGGTATACGGCATTTCCTCTGTTCTTGATAAAAGGATCGAGAGTTCGCCACATTTGTCTGCAGCCACACCAACGTACCCACTCTTGTCTGACCTCAGAAGTGAAGCAATGTCTGACTTGATTAGTACCCAGATGGTGTAGTTATATCTATATTTTATAGACATTGAAACTGGGTTTGAAGGAATTTGAGCAGCTTCCCCAGGAACCTATAACTAAGTGTTGTCTCTAGAATTCATCTCAATTTGTTTGATGTTTCTCAATTTCAAAGGTGAAGCAGAGGAATTATGATGACATGACTCGCTAATAAAAAAGTAGAGAGTCTCCAAAGCAGGTATACTATTGGGTTCCAGGTATTGGCAGAATAAAATTCCAGGTTTCTTGGGTATAATATTGGATTCCACCTGTACCCTAACTTCAGACTTGCTAAGTCTGTTAGTGAGATCTGGCTCCCTTTCCCCTCCCAGGTAAGCATACCTTTCCTGCGTCCATGTAAACACTTAAGCGCTGTCCAGACTGACTTCCAATGTGTATTAAGGTCCCAGTGAGACTCCTCGGGCGAATGCTGACGATGAGCTGAAACTCTGGGCCCAAGGACACAGAATTGTCTTCCAAAAGAAAGACCAAGAAACAGTTAACACCCATAATTAAAGAAAGAAGACAGAGTTCTTCAGACTTACAGTTCTTACAGACTCACCCAGGACCACATGGCCTCCTCCTTGGGAGAAATAAATGCCTTTCTCCAAAGAGCCACCTGAGCAGGGAGATACTCCAAACCTCGCAGAGGGGGGACCCAGGGGTTTTGAGTTCAACTGGAAGTTCTTCAGGCACCCCACAAAGCTGTGCTGGGGGAGGCTCTGTAATGAAGCAGAGGATAAACAGTTCATGGCATGTGCTTTCCAGAAAAGTTGAGGGGAAGGGATCGACCAGAGACTTGTGGGTGTTGAAGTTTGAGGCGCCACTTAACCAAATGCTGGGAGTGGGTGGAGGTGGAAATTGCTAGTCTGTGCTCACATAAGAACAAGGAGGCTCAACATGACTCTGGTTCACACAGACAGAGCTGCAACACAGGGAAATTACACCTCACGGTTTAAATATCTCACTACTCATTGTAGGCACGAACCATTTCTTAGGGCTTTGTGATCCAGCGGGATAGCTTAATGCCAGGCAGCTGACTGAAAAGTGGGGCCAAAGTGTTCCCAAAATAGTCAAGTGCAAGATGGCGCTCCATGTTGTTAGGCTTGGCGTACTACCAATAAACCACGGATGCTGTGGGGTCCAAAGGAGATACTGTGCACTACCAATAAACCAAAGATGCTATGGAGTCCAAAGGAGATACTGTGTACTACCAATAAACCACGGATGCTGTGAAATCCAAAGGAGATACTGTGCACCTCATCAATGCCTTTGTGGAGCACCCCTGACTGTCTGAAGTCGGCCTGGAGCAAGAGTTCCCAATCCGGATCTAGGTTTCTGAGGATCGCAGTATCTTGCCGTAAACAGCAGAAGCTCACTGCGTGCACACCCACCATCCAGGGAATGAACTGATGGAGGAGGGTCATCTTTCTGTCTGTTGTTTCATTGGTTAAGTAATAAAGAAACTGCTTGGCCTTTAATAGGACAGAAAATTAGGTAGGCGGAGTAGACAGAACAAAATGCTGGGAGAAAGAAGCTGAGTCAGACGGTCGCCATGATTCTCCCACTCCAGACAGACGCAGGTTAAGATCTTCCCTGGTAAGCCACACCTCGTGGGCTACACAGATTATTAAAAATGGGTTAGATCAATATGTAAGAGCTAGCCAATAAGAGGCGGGAACTAATGGGCCAAGCAGTGTTTAAAAGAATACAGTTTCCGTGTAATTATTTCGGGTAAAGGTAATCGGGTGGTGGGACGCAGCCCGCCCCCGCTCATATTACAACAATGAACAGTAGTATATTTGCCAAACTCACAATACATTTACAAAATCCCCAATTTTTTACAGGTAATTTTAAGGAGCATGGCGCCCTTAGACATACACATGGTGCTGGTGGCAGGTGGCTGGAAAGTTCTCTTAACCAATTTTTTTTTGACAGCTAATTTTGTCACCACGACAAGATCTGGGATCATCTAATAGATAAGCCATTGGGCATACCTGTGAGGGAGCTTCTAGACTGGAAAATTGAGGTTGGAAATCCGCCCTAAATGTCAGTTGCACCATCCTACAGGCTGAAGTCTTCACCCATAGAAACGCAGCCGTTTCACCGTTTCTCTCGCCGCTACCTGTGACTGCTATGTACCAGTTATCTCACACTCTCGCTACCATAGTGACTGCACCTCAGAACTGTGAACCCAAACAAACTCTCCCTTCCCTAAGCGGCTCTTGTCATATTGGGCAGTGCCTAGCACCTTTCCTCATTTTATCACGCTAGACAGCTGAATCCTTACCTGAAACCAAGTACAGACACTGCAGGCCAGGTGGTGACCCAACCGCAAAACGCAAGGCTGGCTGCGGTTCTGCTGGTCAGCACCTCTACTGGATTTTATATTCTTACAGAGAATCTTAAAGGTCCCAAAGGCCATGCTAAAAGCCTGCCAATGGCATTACTGAAAGGTTGTTCACCCTTTAGGAGGCAGTGGGGTCACTGCCGGCACGCTCATCCAAGTCATCTTGGTCCTCACCTCACTTTTTTGGCTCCTGGCCACCAGAAGGCAAGTAGCCTTGCCGGGTTAGATATTCCCTGCTGTGATGTCCTGCCTTGCCACAGGCCCGAAGCAACATGGCCAAGCAATCATGTCATAGTAAAATTAACCACTTTGTATGTCAACTAAATGTTCTTTAAATAGAATATTATCAGTAGGTGCTGTCTGTCTGCCACACTTAGGAAGCTAGGTGTCATTAGTGAGGTTTATAGGACCTATCAAGGTCAAAGGAATACTCTAATCACCCCTGAGAAACCTGTGATTTTCCTGAGAGGAAAAAGGGTTTAGAGGATGGAGAAAAGTCAGTGTTAACAGTAAGGACCCTTATCATATGCCATAGATACCATATCACATATTATATAAATATGGCATGTAGTATTAACAGTATTGTAGTGTTAACAGTAATGTAGTGTTAACAGTAAGGACCCTTATCATATGCCACAGATGCCATATCACATATTATATAAATATGGCATGTAGTATTAACAGTATTGTAGTGTTAACAGTAATGTAGTGTTAACAGTAAGGACCCTTATCATATGCCACAGATGCCATATCACTTATTATATAAATATGGCATGTGGTATTAACAGTATTGTAGTGTTAACAGTAATGTAGTGTTAACAGTAAGGACCCTTATATGCCATAGACACCATATCACATATTATATAAATATGGTATGTAGTATTTATGATAAACATGAAAAAGTTACTTCATATAAATATAGTACAAAGTGCTATTTTATTCTTTGCTGTGACTTTGGTACAAAGAATGGGCCAGAGTGTACTCCATGCAACTACCCCAGCTCTGGCTGGGTCACCCTGAAGCACTAAAATCTAAGCTGGTGGACAAAGCCTGCTTTACTTACATCTTTCCAGGCCATATTCAAGCTTGGGCCCTTCCCTAGCTCATTGCAAGCAAACATCACACCAGAACATTTCCCCAACTCTTGAGGAAGGGGCCAAAGCTGCATTTGGGTAAAGGATAACCCCTAGACCTGAGCTGCTCACATACCAGGGACCTTAAGTGGCATGGACAAGGTCAGGAACATAGGACACCCCTATGTCCTATGGCAGTCAGCACTATGGCAGGGTGAGTGAGAGACAGAGGAAGAGAGCAAACAAGTGGGCTGAGACCCTTTTGAACATGACAAGGACAGTGACTGTAACTCGTCTTTGGTGTCAGGACATTCTCAACATAGCTTAGTTCGAGTCTTGGGCTAACACTGTCATTTCAGGGAAGAACAGTACAATGCATGTGGTCTGCAGACCTCCTCGTGTTTTCCATCTGGGGCTGGAGATCGAGCACAGATGCCCGCCCCACCAGGCACAGTATCTACTGCAAGAATTCCTTCCTCTTCTTCAAGTCTCTTTGGGGCTTTCTGGTTAGAAAGGGAACACACTTGGCTCTACACCAATGATAGTGTGTCTTCACGCCAATGCTAGTATGTTTTCTTAAATCCATCTTGACTTCCCTGCAAGCTCCTCTCTCCACAGGAGCAAGGATGGGCCAAGCATCTAGCTGACTCCAATGATGCTGCTTCCTCTCCATGAACTCATGTTTGTGGCTATTTATAATTTATGATCATGGACATTGGGCTTCCACTTATGAGAGAAAATAAAAGGTCCTTTAAAGTACATTTTGATTCAACAGCGAGTTGGTAGGCAGTGAAGGAGGAAGTGTATGCTTTTGCTAAGGTTTTGCAAAGGCAGCAGAGACCGCCAAAGCTTGGGACGCATCATCTTCCCCAAAACTTTTGCTTCAGGCTGGAGACATGACTCAGTAGTTAAGAGCACTATCTGATCTTCCAGAGTTCTAGATTTAATTCCCGGCACCCGCATGGCAGCTCATAATCTTCTATAGCTCCAGTTGCTGGAGAACCAGAATCACTCTTCAGGCCTCTACAGGTACCAGGTGCACATGTGGTACATAGACATACATACAAATATAACATCCACACATGAAATAATAAACAAGCACACACCCCTGTCCCTTTCCCTGGAAGAGAAACTGAGAGTCATGTTTCTAATGCCATAGAGAACCCCATGGTCACTTCTTAAACGCCCGTGTCTCAGCTTAGACCTTATACATAAGCCTGGGAGTGTCGAGCGGGCACATTGTGGCTTTGAGAACACTGGCTATGTCAAACAGTTATTCAAAGAATTTTGAAGTCTTCAATGTCTCATGTAATAACAACTATAATGAGAATTACTTTTTTTTTCTAGCTTTACCTTCAACTTCCTTGATGGTGACGACCCCAGGTAAACCTGTGCTCTGGGGATGATGGTAGAATTTCCAGGCCAACTGCCTTCCTGGGCCCTTAGCCCATCCACAACCAGGTGCACCCTTCCTCCACTTTGTCCAAACACAACCTTTAGAATAAAGAAAAGAGTCAAAAGTTTACCTCTGTTAACTAGTACCACATTGTTTTTGTTTTTATTTTTTCAAGACAGGGTTTTTCTGTAGCTTTGGAGCCTGGCCTGGCCTCACTCTATAGTCCAGGCTGGCCTCAAACTCACTGAGGTCCGCCTGCCTCTGTCTCCTGAGTGCTGGGATTAAAGACATGTGCCACCATTGCCCAACTTAGTACCCATATTTTAATAGTGGTCATTGGAAATATAAAAAACCAGTTTTCTATCCTTCAGTAGCTTTACAAGGAGGGAAAAGTCTTTTCTTGTTTATCATTGTGACCGTTGTTTCATGAGAACATGTCAGAGATTCAACAGCTGCCATGAAAGCTGAGTTAAAGACAGATCCAAGGGGTCTAGAGAGGTTAACAAAGGAGGGAAGAACCAAGGTACAAGCTGATTGAGGTCAGAGCGGTCTGCACGGAGCTGAGGGCAGGGCAAGCCAGGGCAAGGCTCTGGAGCAAGCAGGAACTGGACATTCCTCCTGCGTCACCAGGGGCAAGCATTCTCTTGGCTACGACTTTGAATCCTTGTCTGCTCTCTCAGTGGTGGTGGGACTCGCAGTTCCAATGCCATCAGTAGAGGTCTAAATTGTCCCCAAACAATTCTCTGTATCTCTGTCTCTCTCTCTCCCCTCCCTGCCTTGCCATTAGCCCAGCTACCGGTCCAAATCATAGAAAGCAGCACTGACTTCCTCCCTTGGGGTCACTTCACATGCAGCCATGCAGCTGTCTGTCTTGTTCTTCTTTCTGCGTATGTCCTGGACCCCACTGTTCCCCACTCCCACCTCGGCCCCCAGATAAGGGCAACAACATCTCCCTGCTTTCCCTACTTCTCTTTTTGCCCCAGTCTAGTCAAAGGGTCTTTGCAAAAGTCACTACGTTCCTGTCTGTGCTTGACCAGTTCAAGATGCTTCAAAAGCTTTAGAGACACTTGTAATAGATTCCCAAGGCCCAGCCGGGTGTAGTGACACATGCCTGTTATTCCTAGTCACTTGGGCTGATGCAGGAGGATCTCAAGTTCTAGGTCAGTCTGGAATACCTGGTGAGTTCCAGGACAGCCTGGGCTATACAGTGAGATCCCATCTCATAAATGAATGAATTAGCCATAGCTGAAGGCACAGCTTAGCGATCCCAGCTCTCTGGAGGCTGTGGTAGGAGGGTTACAGAGTCAAGGTCAGCATAAGCAGCTGACACCCTATAGCTTAATGGTACAGTGCTTACCGAGGTCTATGAGGCCCTAGATTCAAGTGTTAGCATCGCTAAATAATACATTCATAAACGCATACATACTTACAGCCAGCACTATATGTCCTTAGTTTGGCCTTTGAAGCTTAAGTTATCAGAGCCCTGCCCACCCCAGGCCCCCGTTCCTGTCCCTTACAATGCTGTGGTCTGCTCACTGAGTTCACCCCAGCACCAGTCCCATAAATTCCCGTGGTGGCTGCCTCCTCCAGGAGCCTTTTCCTGACTACTTTAACTAAAATAGTACCCTCACTCTGACTTCCTGTGGTCCAACCAGACTAACATTTCCCCAGTCAAGATGTTTATGTGAGCCAAGAGAGCAGCCCACTCAATATCTGTTGGGTATTAATGAGTGGAACTCATCAGGTCACTTGGGTTCCATCATCAGAAAAGCATGGCTTCCTTTCTAGTGTATGCTTTTAACTCAGCCTAGAGCTGGAATACTAGGGATGCAGTGAGAGAAGGCTTTCTGCTTGTTTATTAAAGAATACTAGGTACCCAGAGAGAGGCCCAAGAATGAGCTCTGAGAAGAGGAGCAGTCCCGTGTGCGGGGATGGGAAATAAGCTGGGGCACCATGAAGTCCAGGGGGATGGGAAGTAAGCTGGGGCACTGTGAAGTCCAGGTAGTCAGGGATGGGATCACAGGAGTAATGGTTTGAGTCTGTCTTGACACTCAGACTGCCATCCAACATGGTTCAGGTGTATGGCAGTCTGTCCCAAGATGCTGGGCATCCAGTGTCCCTACCTACACAGACTCTCCCTCTACATATGCCAGGGTTCCTGGGAATAATTCTAGACTCTTCACTTTGGCTACCAAGGCAGTAGATTCTGCATCAGCTGGAAGTGCGGACTGGGGATCCCTTATCTGAAACGTTTGGGACCATAAGTGTTCTAATTTGTTTTCTGCTTTTGGAATGTTCATATATACATAATGAGACATCTTAGAATGAAACTCAAGTCTAAACACAAAATTCACTCATGTTCAATATGGTTACACACAGAGAGGGAGAGAGAGGAAGAAATTCTATATATTTAGTATTTTGACTATAATCTGTTAAAGAGGCTAGGAATGACATTTTCTGTTTAAGGTACTATGTCTTTTCTCAGAATGCTTGGTATCCTGGGCCATTTTGGATTTTGGATTATTTCAAGATGTTCAACCCATTTTCACACAGTCCCAGCTCTCACCATGTGCCACTTCCCGTCATGGTATTTCTCCTTGCTTCTGAGTCTCAGTTTCTTTCCTTCTGCCCCCAAAGCAAAGACGACATGTCCTTCTGAGAGATAAAGAGCCATGAAGGAGTTCTTGGTGCCTATGTAAAACACCAGCCCTTTGGAAGATGTTGTCTTTATGTCCACGGAAAATTGTGACCTGTGGATAAAGAGAGAGATAGGAGAGAAGAATTGGGCATGCTGGCCTATGACCCCAGTTCCCAGGGGCCAGGAGCAGGAGGATTACAAGTTTGAGGCCAACCTGGGCTGCCGAGATGTCTTCAGGTATACAGCAGTAAGATGTTTTCTTTCATAAATAAATAAATAGAAAAAAAGGAAAGAAATGGACAATGGAGGGAAATAGATGCCTTCAGTTTCCTGCACCTCAGAAGATGAGTAGAGGTGAGCCCACTCCCTAAAGATGCAGGGGCTTCCAGAAGTCAGGGCACACTGGCTGTTAATACAGTCAGTACAGTTTCCTGATCACCTCTGGAGGAATTGCACAGATTTCCTATGGCAAGTTTAGCTAGTGGTATAAGTCCTAGCATATGGCAAGAAGTCTAGCATATGCTAGTACTTTAAAAATCAACATTAAAATTATGGTAAAATTCACATGTCCTAAAATTTATCATCTTCATCACTTCTGAGTGTCCAGTTCATTAGGGTTGTGCTAATTCATAATGATGCACAACCATTTATATAGCTCCTCTTGGTGTGAAACACAAACTCTACCCTGTAACCAATTCTTCATTTGCTTAGAGGCTGGCTACCCCCCTGTCTCAAAGGACCTGATTGCTCTTGGTACCTCATGCAAGCTGAGCCACACCCTCACTAATACAAACTGTTTATACCCAGTGAATGTGCTTTCTATTTGTGTATCTTCATTGGAAGGGAGGTGGTAGCAGGAACAGAGGCAGCTTGAATAATGAGAATGTGATTTGGGCATCAGGTGAGTACGTTCTATGGGACAGGAGTGCTCTCCCCATTTCTCTGCCTCCTCCCACCCCAAGACCTCAACTGTCCTGGAAGAGGAATTAGAACATACTATGTAGCCAATAATTGAAAGCTAGTATTAATTTACTTGATGGCTTAATATCATTTCCAGATCAAGCCAAGAAAACTTCCTATTCATCCGTTCATCAAGCCAGCTAACCAAACAACAAACATTTACTGAGAGTTCAGTAGGTAGAAGGCACTGTGCTAGGCCCTGGAAATACAGTCATAGAATTATCTATGGTGCATGGGACCACCAACAGGTTCATTTAGGACAATATGAAAAGGCAGTAGAGACGCAGGCATCAACGGATGTCTGTGTTGGCTCCCTGCGGTTCATGTCTAATACCCAGTAGAGGACACAGACCAAGCTCATCTTGCTACTGTAGCTATATGGGCAGGTTCTACTGCATAAGTACACATTCAACAAATATAGTGACTAAATTGAGTTAAGGAGGAAATGAATAATTCAGAAGTAGAATCTGATGACAACATTATGCTGTTAGTTCTTTGATTTTCAACATTGTGAGTCTAAGATTCACATTTGTTCATCAGACAAGCAGGTTTCCTAGAGGGCAATGTTCTTCAAGATGAGGAAGAACCCATATTTGTTAAATGAATTGCCCAGATGGCCCACAGCTCCATGTTTCTCCTGACGTGTCTGATCGCCTGTGCCAACTTAAAAGACTATTGGGATGCACTCCAGAACACACAGCACATCACAGACGTGGGCTCGGTTTTCAGGCTTGACATTGGCTTTCCAGAGCTATTTCTTAAGGCAGTCTTCTTGCAGAAAAGACTAATTAACATTTCAAAAAGGCAGCAGTAGATTCGCCTCCTGGAACTGGAACCGGCAGAGCAGGGCAGAGCAGCCAGGAGTCCCCCTGCCAGAAAAAAGGGGGCGCAAGAGCACACGCTCACATATTCACTGCAGGGTCCAAGGGACAGCGCCAGCTTCGTGGGACAGTGGGAACACAGCTAGGACGCAAGCTGGATGAGGACAACAGCTCACGCCGGAGCTGGCAACTTCTGAAGACATGATTGTTAAAACATTTGGGACTGGGGTAGTTTATGAGTGCATATGCCAGTGTGATTTAGAGACACACCCTTGGCATGTCAGCAAGGGCGTCTTCCAGAGAGGTTTAACTGGCTGGACATCTGCAGCTCCACTCCATGGGCTGGGATCCCTGACTAAATGAGAAGAGGGTGAGCTGCCCATCAGCCACCCATCTCTCTGCTTCCCGACTGTGGGTGTAATGTGACCTCATGTTCCTGCTGCTTTCTCTGCCACATGGACTGTGCCTGCAAACCATGAGTCAAATGACTTTTCTTTCTTGTTTTTATCATAGATGAGAAAAATAACTAATACTGTAATGACCAGCTTTCTACTCCTTACCCCACTCCCATCCCACTTCACCTTCCAATATGTTACCTCGATGAGAAGGTATCAGGGTTGACTGTGAGCAGGTCACCATGCTAAATGATGAAGGGAGAAAATGCTGGGAGCTGCAGTGGGGGGGAAGCTACAGTGAGGGAGCTGGGGTGGGAGGCGGTGGGGGAGCTGGGTGGAGGAGCTTTAGGTGGGAGGTGGTGGGGAGCTGCAGTGGGGGAGCTGTAGTGGGGGGAGCTACAGTGAGGGAGCTGGGGTGGAGGAGCTGGGAGTGGGATGTGGTGGGGAGTTGCAGCGGGGGAGCTGCAGTGGAGAAGCTGCAGTGGGGGAGCTACAGTGGTGCAGCTGGGGGTGGGAGGTGGTGGGGAGCTGCAGCGGGGGAGCCGCAGTGGAGAAGCTGCAATGGGGGAGCTGCAGTGAGGGAGCTTCAGTGGGGGAGCTGAGGTGGGATGCGATGGGGGAGCTTCAGTGGGGGAGCTACAGTAGAGAAGCTGCAGGGGAGGAGCTGCAGTGGGGGAGCTGCAGTGGGGGAGCAGAATTGTGGGGAGCTGGGGACAGGAGGTGCTGAGGAGGCTGGGATAGTCAAGGCAGCATCTGAAGATGCCACTTCTTTAAGATGAGGGACTGTTGTCATTCAGGTTAGTTTGGCCAAGAGAGCAGGGCTAAACAATGGGGCCTCCCTTCCCAGAAGTAATGACATCATCAGGAGAAGGACCAACTAAAGGACATCCGGCCTCTTTCTGTTCTGTTCTATAAGCCGAATTTCAGCAAATGAGAAGTTCTGAGAGTTTCCGTGGGGTCACGGCTTGCTCAGGCTTTTCCTTGGGATGATTCTGACTCTCATATCTGAGTCATCCTATGGCTGAGTGGACTTCCAAGGGCCAGTCTCCTTTTGAAGTATTAACCTGTCACCTTTGTCAGCAAATCAATATTAATCCGTTTTAACCAATGAGCAGACAGAGGCTAGAGAGTGATGAAGCATTCACTGAAATGTCAGGCAGACCCAGAAGGAAGTAGAGAGAAGCTGATTACGTGTGTATGAAGGTCACAAAGGTACACCGAAGGCTTCCTACAGAGGTACAGGACAGTCCTCAGTTGTCCCAGTGTTTGGATCTGCTTTACATGGCAAGCATGATAAAAATAGACACTGTGCCCAACGCTGACCCTTCTGAGATGCTCTCCCCGTCAGGGGCCCCCAGGACTAGATGGCTTTCTCAGAGCGGTGCTGCAGGGCGAAGCCCACTCCATTCTCCACTCTCCCAGCCTGTGCCTGCCTGCCCCCTCCCCATAAGAACGCCTGCATCTCCAGACCCACCTTGGCGTCTGTACCACAGAGCAGCCAAACTGGCACATGACACAGCCAGTGTGAAGCTATTAAGCACAGGCCAAGAACCAAGAGTTCAAGCCGGGTCTTTGGCTTCCTTTCCTTCCCGTGTCCTGCAAGACACCTGGAAAGGGCAAACCTTGCTTTCCTCCTTCCAACATCCTTAGTGTTTTCATTCGGTCCCTCCTCCCCAACAGGAATGCATCTGGTTAGCATAAGAAAGTCTGAAAGCGTTCTCTGCGAATGTTCTCTCCTAAGAGAATGATTTCCCTTTCAATACAGAGCGCAAGAGAAGAAAGGTGCTTTATCAAGTAAATAATAACTAGCTCAGGGGTGGGACCGCAGCCTTATTTTTAGAATGCCATCAATTCTCAGCCAGAGCGAAGCTGATTACGTGGGCCCTGAGCAGCAGAGGCGGTGGCAGCAGCAGTCACATTTCCATTCCAGCTGTAGTGGGGGGCAGAGCACATGAAGGCCCCGACACCCCCTGTCTTATGTCACCTCCTTCAGGAGCAGGGTGTCGTCGGGATTAGATGTCTCCCGGAGAGACTGGAAAGTCGGCTCTGACTTGGCACCAAATAGAACCAGAATATATATGGGAAAGAAAAAGAAAAGGAGAAATACCTGGGTTTCAGTAGCTCCTGAGGAAGCTTGAATAGCAAGTGGCTGGTGGGACTGTCCCCAAACTGGAAGGCTCTGTGAGTGGCCTGGGTATTGAGAGGTGGCAGGCAGGACTTCCTATCGTGCCATGCCTCCATGCTCCCCGGGGAGGCCTGAGGTGCATCCTGCAACAGCTGTAAGGGAGAGGAAAGAAAATGAGAACCCAATGGGGAGCGGCAAATGGAGGGCAGCATTGCTCGCCTGGACCAATCAGTTTTCACTCCAGACTCTAAGTGATAAGACCAGATGAAAAACAGAAAGCTTAGCAAAAATCCCCAATGGGTCTCCCTGCCGAAAGTCCTTCCAGTGTGCCACTTATGTGGAGAAAGAGGGGAGGGTGGAAACTTCACAGCTTCTTTACTCTCCCGTAGACCCATCCAGCCACATCCAGTGTCTCAGTGAGGCTATGGCTTCGGAGACTTTTACCTTCAAGAAGTTATGAATAGGGCTGGAAGACATGACTTTGGAGAATCCAAATATTCCTTTTTTCTTATTTCATTTTTGGGGAGAATACATGCTACTCATGTCTTATTTAAGTCTAGCCTCTTTAGGGGAAACTGCCACATCTGGGACCGCCAGGGATCCAGCTCTCCATCCCATCATGAGCCATCAGGGATCCAGCTCTCCATTCCATCATGAGCCATCAGGGATCCAGCTCTCCATCCCATCATGGACCATCAGGGATCTAGCACTCCATCTAATCATGGATCATCAGGGATCCAGCACTCCATCCCATGATGGACCACCAGGGATCCAGTACTCCATCCCATGATGGACCATCAGGGATCTAGCACTCCATCTAATCATGGATCATCAGGGATCCAGCACTCCATCCTATTACGGACCATTAGGGATCCAGCACTCCATCCTATCATGGGCCATCAGGGATCCAGCACTTCATCCTATCATGGGCCATCAGGGATCCTGCACTCCATCCCATCATAGATCACCAGAGATCCAGCACTCCATCCCATCATGGATCACCAGAGATCCAGCACTCCATCCCATCATGGACCACCAGAGATCCAGCACTCCATCCCATCATGGACCATCAGAAGAACCAGTGTTCTCAGCAGACACCCAGCATGAGGCATTTACAGGCAGAGTAGGACATAGAGCCAAAAACCTGCCATCTCCCACTCTAGGCAATTCCCTTGGGCTTTTGTAAGAAGGGAAGTGAAAGACTGAGAGAGGGACAGAAGGACAAGGGCACTGAATCTTTCCTCACTACTGTCAGCATTGACTATGGCATAAAATTCTGCCTTGTATTGGGCCACGCTTTCAACATTTGAGCATTAGTTGTGCCCAGAGAAGCTGATGAAAGAAACTTGAGTCTCCAGATGGCCCTCTCTTCACATCAGGGTCTAGATTCTGATGTTTAGGTCTGGACCACAGGGATCAGAGCTCAATGGGGATTTCTATAGTCCAGGTGAAGGCTGGGGATTTGCCTTGCTAGAAGTTGGGTCAGGATTGAACTTGTGACTCTTGATCCTGGGCAATGACTCTTGAGAGGAAGTTGTTGGGAAGAGTTGCTGAGTAAAGATAGGTCCTAGCAGAGAGAAACCAAGGTAGGAACTGTTGTTTCCCTGCTGGACATTGTTCAGCGGTCAAGCTTTTCCTTAGAACCAGCCAAGATGAAGCAGAGAGAACTGGGGGTCAAGCTTCATGTCCCACCTGGCACTGTACTGCTCCAAAGGTGGAACCCTAGCTTCACTTCAGTCACTCTGAGAAAATACTTAGAAGAGAAAGGGGACTTCAAGGCAGGCACCCAAAACAGCTAATCAATCACAGCCATTGTCGGGAACAGAGGGAAATCTATGCACGCATGCTGACTGCTCAGCTAGCTTCCTCTGCTCTCACATGCACACATACTGACTCCTCAGCTAGCTTCCTCCGCTCTCACCATGCACGCATGCTCAGCTAGCTTCCTCTGCTCTCACACGCACACATACTGACTCCTCAGCTAGCTTCCTCCGCTCTCACCATGCACACTGACTGCTCAGCTAGCTTCCTCCGCTCTCACCATGCACGCATGCTCAGCTAGCTTCCTCTGCTCTCACATGCACACATACTGACTCCTCAGCTAGCTTCCTCCGCTCTCACCATGCACGCATGCTCAGCTAGCTTCCTCCGCTCTCACCATGCACGCATGCTCAGCTAGCTTCCTCCGCTCTCACCATGCACGCATGCTCAGCTAGCTTCCTCTGCTCTCACATGCACGCATGCTGACTCCTCAGTAGCTTCCTCTGCTCTCACCATGCACGCATGCTCAGCTAGCTTCCTCAGCTCTCACCATGTACGCATGCTCAGCTAGCTTCCTCCACTCTAATAGTCCAGGCTCCTGACCAGGCAATGGTGCCCCTATTTTCAGGTTGTTACTCCCCACACCAGTTGAGGCAATCAAGACAACACCCACAGACACACCCACACACACGTGACAAGTCAACCTGACCTAAACTTTCTTCTCAGGTGGTTCTAAGTTGTGTTAAGTTGACAAACAAGCCATCACAGGTAAAACTGTTGTCCTGATGAAAGCCATTTTGCAAGGAATCTTCTGAAACCTCCTTCGTAATTGGGTGTTCCTCTCTAACCCCATTGAAGACAGATATGGTGCCGGAGTGAACACTTGATAGCAGCTGTCTGCACAGCCAAAGCCAGGCCTGGTTGTATAAGCCTGTAAGTCCTCACTTACTCAAGAGACTGAGACAGGAGAATAGCAAGTTCAAAGCCAGTCTAGGCAACTAAGTTAGACATGGTCTCTAAATGAAAGTAAAGAGGGGATAGGATGTTTGTCTAACAGTACACATACACACACACACACATACACACATCCCCCCACCACACACACACATACACACACCCCACACCACATCCCCTACACCACACACACACATATCCCCTACACCACACACACCACAAACCTCCCTGCACACACACACACACACACACACCACATCCCCCACACCACACAGACACACACACATATCCCCTACACCACACACACACACACACCACAAACCTCCCTGCACACACACACACATTCCCGCACACACACACACACACCACATCCCCCACACCACACAGACACACACACACCACATCCCCCACACCACACAGACACACACACCACATCCCCCCACCACACACACACACACACACACCACATCCCCCACACCACACACACACACACATACACACACACCACAAACCTCCCTGCACACACACTCACACATTCCCGCACATACACACACACACATACACCACATCCCCCACACCACACACATATCCCCTACACCACACACACATACACCACAAACCTCCCTGCACACACACACACACACACATTCCCGCACATACACACACACACACACCACACAGACACACACACACATTTCCCCTACACCACACACACACACACACCACAAACCTCCCTGCACACACACACACACATTCCCGCACACACACCACATCCTCCACACCACACACACACACACAAATCCCCTACACCACACACATATATACACCACATCACCTACCACACACACAGGGCCACAGAGAGGGACAGACTACTAAACAGAAACACCCCAAGCATGCACACCGTTGAATGGAGATGATCACTCACACCCATCAGAAATCTATGTGAGCTGCTTGAATTCAGGGCTACGCTTTCTGAGTGGCGGTGGTGATGGTGTCTCTTCACATCAATGGAAACCCTAACATGATTATCTTTAAATGTCAACTTGACACAACCTTGAATCACACAGGAAAGTCTTAATGAAGGGTTGTCTGAAGTGGGTCAGTCTGTGGGTACAACTATGAGGAATTAAGTTAATTGATGGAGGAAGATCCAGAATACTGCGGGTGACACCATTCCCCAGGCAGAATCCTAACTTGCATGAGTGGAGAAGTCTAGCCGGTCACAGCAAGCAACTGAGCAACCACACATTCATTTCTCTCTGCTCTTGACTGTGGGGTGATGTGACTGGCTGCTTCAAGTTCCCGCCTCGACTTCCCAGCATTGATGGGACTATAACCTGGAACCATAACTGGCTGCTTTAAGCTCCCACCTCGACTTCCCAGCATTGATGGGACTGAAACCTGGAATCGTAACTGAAATGCATGCCTCTCTCCCTTGAGTGGCTTCTTATCAGGGTGTTTTATCACAGCATCAGAAGCAAAACTAGGTCATCCCTACAAAGCAAACTGTAAGGAGCTGGCTTTATACAGCCAAGACTACACTACCTCCCTTCTAAGGGTCCCCGAGTCAATGTTGGCCAGGATGATCTCATTATAATACAGATTCCTCACAAAGGCGATTTCTGTTCTACATTTTTGGACAAAGGATATGTGAAGAAGTAGCATGATGTCCAACTGAGCATGCTCAAGATTGTACCTCCCCTAATGTGATGGGAATATTTTCTATATGAATGTTCATCAATTTCCCCAGTGATAGCCCCATAATTTCTTTAGAAGAAGCACTCTTGAGTTTTGGCATTCTTATGAGACACAAGTAACACTGCTTCCTTTCCTCTTTTGTCCCCTAGTTGGGCTGATTGGTGTCACAGTTACAGAGTGAACTCTGTAAGCATTTAGCTTCGGCCCCATTTTTTTGGAGACTCTAAAAATTGACAAATTTTTATCAAGATAAAAAATAAATGTTGAAGAGAAATCACTTTGTCATATTTTCAGTATGTGTATGTGTGTGTGCAAGTTTGTGTGTACATGAGCCTGTGTGAGCATGTGGAAGTTGGAGGCCATCAGGTGTCTTCCTCCGTCGCCCTCCACCTCAGCCTTTGAGACAGGTTTTTCTCACTGAACCTGGAGCTCACTGATCCAGCTGGACTGACTGGAAAGTGATTCCAAGGATCTTTGCCTCCTCCGTGCTGGACACAGGTGCATGGTACCACACACCGCTTTTTTACATGGGTGCTGGCAATTCGAATTTGGGTTCTCATGCTTCTGTGTGACTGTACAACCCTGCTGACTGGGCCATCTCCCCAGCCGTGGCTTTGTCAACCTTTTGGTGCCTGTCAATTGCTGATGACCTTTTGGTGCCTGTCAACTGCTGATGACCTTTTAGTGCCACTTCATAGAGACACTAACCATTAGATACTGGGTGATACACTACCCTTTCCCATCACCCCCTTTCCCCCCCCCCCCCCCACCGCCCTAGGCAGGGTCAGGAGAAGTAAGACCCAAGGTAAGGCTTTGACACTTGCCTGATTGACATTGAAAGTCCTGGCCTTGTGAAGTCTCTTGGGACCTTTAAACAGCATAAGGAAAGGAGGCTTGTTTAGACTGCAGCCTCCCAGGGAGGCTTCCTTCTTGGTGGATTTACTGGCCAAATCCAGGACTTCGGGACTCTGTGACAACCTGGAATGAGGGCAAAATGAAAGCTACAAGCAAACTCTTGCCTAGGGAGGGAGACCCACTGTAGGCAGGGAGAGTGTGTCGAAAAGAACCTTCTTACTGCCACGATTCCTACATGAACTTTCAAACACTGTGCAGAAAGGTAAGCTCTTATCGGTAACCACAGAGAAAAGATCACCCACCTTTGGACAAAAACATTAGTGATGCAACCCTCGAAATAACCACCTCCCAGGCGGAGGGACTGCTGGGCATTCGAGAAGTCAGGGAGCCTTTGGTTCCTTCTCATAACCTGGTCATCAATGAGGAATCGGAGGCTGAAAGAGGAGAGAAACAAGACAAGGGTGAGACCCCTTGCAAACCAAACCAAACCAAACCAAACAACCCAAACACTGTGGGAACTGTGCTGTCTGACCCAGACTCAAATCTGTCACCCAATAGGACTGGTCAAATCAGAAATATTTTTTAAAGTGCAAAGTCAGTAACACTTAGTTAAATAATATATATGTGCTGAAAGTATGCATCATAGACATCTGCTCAAGCAAAGTATTAAAAAAAAGGTTTATTTGTTTTTATTTTATGTGTATGTATGCATTGTTTGAATGCATGTCTGTGTACCACATATGTGCCCAGTGTCTGAGGAGCCAGAAGTGGGAATCAGATTCCCTGGAATTGGAGTTAAGCGTGGTTGGGGCTGCCATGCAGGTGCTAGGAACTGAACCTGGGTCCTCTGAAAGAAAAGTCAATGCTCTCAACTACTGAGCTATCTCTCTAGCCCCTTGGATTTTTGCAACATAAATAATCAATATAGTTTGCATCCATTAAAGGTATCAACTGGCACGGTACCTCCAGGGACCCCTTTTTGTATTAATTTTAATTCCCAGTTTCTTCCCCTCTCCAGGAATAACGACCACCCCAAATTCTGATACAATTGATTTGCCCTGCCTTTAAACTCCTGGACACAAAGTCACAGGAGAGCACTCCTAGGTGTACCTTCTCTTACCCACATTTTTGGAGGCTCATCCACATCCTGTATGAAGGTTTATGATGGTGCCTCCCACATTTAGAGTGGGTAGTCTATTTTAAATTTCTATCTTTGCACATACATCCAACCATTGACTTTTTATTTCAATCAGGACAGGGGTACAACTAGGAAAGGGCTAACACGCAGCCAGCGAGCATCAGCACCAGGAAGAGATAGTCTGAAAAGCTGTGCTGGAGAACTCTGCTGGACTAGACTCTGGCAACAGAAAGAGCCCACTCACCCTGAGGTGTCGCTTATTACAGACACGTGATGTAGTAAGCCATCCATGTAGGTCTGTGCAGACTTGAAAATCGGGCCACTGCTGTCCCTGGTGCTCAATTCAATGTGACCATCTTCTAGGGTGACCTGCAGGCTGCTTGTCTGAAACCATCCCAGAATAAACCATTAACAATTAATGTGCATTTAGAAATGACAAATGAATGAGCAAAGCTAGGCATAAAGCAGTCAGGACGTTTTGACCTAAATATTTGGACTTTACCACCTGACCAAAAGATAATTTTAAATAGTTTGTCTTCTTGTTGATGAAGATAAAGATGTCATGCAGATTACTTCAACACTGATGAATTTGTCAGTCTTTTTCTAGATCTACTTTTATTAGGCCCATTTAATTTTCTACTCAGCTGTATAGAACGTTTAATTCATATCTAATTCCCCCTATCTTTACTCTTATTTTGATGAAGTTATTTCTATCAGAATCTGTTCTCTTCTGCATGAATTTTATAGCAGGGAGTTGATTCATTGTCATTCAGGATTCCTTTCCCATGTAAGATTACAACAATGACTCCTTCTCTATGATTTTCATAAACGTTTTATGTTCTGGTCATTATTTCTAGGAAGCCCAATTTTCTGGGTCAAGCTGTGCTCTTCCAAACATTGCCGAGATGACTGGTTCTTCCTGTTGATGAGTAACTTAAAGGCTATTTTAGAACAGCTGCCAGTTCCATTCAGTTTTTGCCATCAAATCTAGTTTCTAAAGTTTTCTTTAAGATGTGCTGTCTGTGAGCTTTCCTACTACAGCAATTTGACAGTGCACACTTAGAGTGAAGGCTTTAGTTGTTGTTGCAGTACTTGCTACCAATGGGGTCAATTGTGTTTCTTAAATAATCCCCTTTGAACTTGAAAGCAATGCCCCTAAGACATTTCTAGAATTCCTGTGCTGCACAGGATTGTTCTAACTTGTTGCTAATCTAATCCTTCCATCTACTTTCAACCATTTTGTGGAGTGTGTACTGACTGCACTTACATGTGGCAGAGAAACAGGGCTTAGGAATAAAGTGCTAGATCAAGGCTGGGGACATGGCTCAGTCAGGAAAATGCTTACCACAGGATGAAAATCTGAGTTCAGTTCCCGGAACCCACATAGGAAAAACTAGGTGCAGATGTGTGTGCTCATAATCCCAAGGCTGGGGGGATGGAGGAAGGACGATCTCCAGGCATTGCTGGCTAGGGAGCTTAGCCTACTTGGTGAGCCCTAGGCTAGTGAAAGACCTATCTCAAACAAGGTGATGGCTCCTGAGAAATGATATAAGAAGTTATTCCTTTATCATACACATACACGATTGAATACACAATCATATGACACAAGTTCACAAATACACACAAACACGGGGGGGGGAATAGTGTGGGAAGTCCTTCTGTATATGTATTGAATTTATTGGTTAATGAATAAATCTATTTCAACCAGTGGCTTAGCAAAATAGAGTTAGGCAGGAAAACTAAACTGAATGCTGTGAGAAAGAAGGCAGATTCATTGAGAAGCCATGTAGCTACCACAGGAGACAGATACTTCTACCGGAGTCTGCTGAAACTTTTCCAGTAGGCCATGACCTTGTGATGATGCACAGATTAATGGAGATGGGTTAGTTTAGGATATAAGAGCTATCTAGAAAATATGCTTAAGCTGTTGGCCAAACAGTACTGCAAATTTATGTAGGTGGATCATCTGTCTATGTGTTACTCTCATTGGTTAATAAAGAAACTGCCTTGGCTTTTTGATAGGACAGAGAATTAGGTAGGCGGAGTAAACAGAACAGGATGCTGGGTAGAAGGCAGTGAGGTAGACGCCATGAGCTCCAGCCCAAGATGGACGTAGGTTAGAATCTTCCCAGTAAGCCACCACCTTGTGGTGCTACACACAGTAACAGAAATGGGTTAATCATGATGTGAGAGTTAGCCAGTAAGAGGCTAGAGCTAATGGGCCAGGCAGTGTTTAAATGAACACAATTTGTGTGTTGTTATTTCAGGTGTAAAGCTAGCCATTCGGGAGCCGGGTGGCGGGAACGCGGCCTGCAGCTCCATCTACAGCAAATAATATAGTTTCTGCATGATTATTTTGGGTCTGAGCACCAGGAATGAAAGAACAGCCTCTGCCAACAAACTGATGCCCAAAGCAGGGCTAATGGGTGTATTGTGGGACTGGGACGGACAGAAATTTCTGCCAACACAGAGAGAGAGACAGACAGAGAGAGAGAGAGGGAGGAGAGCACACACTAGGTCAAACTGTTATGCTGTCAAGCTTGGCTAGCTGGCCTCCTCTACTATCTAATGGCATGTCTCTTTAGAGATCATTTTTAAAGTCTACAAAGAGTGGTAAACAAGATACCAAAAGGTGAGTGACCTTCCTAACAGACATAGCCACAGAGGCAGCCACTGCCATCTTTTAGATCCGATACAAAATATCCACTGTAATTGGCAACACTAAAGAAACAAGTCCAAAAGCATTATTTGAAAGTCCAGTTCTTCCTCTGAGTGGATCTCTAAGCTGACCCCTCTCTCTGGAGCTGTGGAGGGACCAGAGTCTCACTCTTGCTCTCTCGCTCTCTGTGTGTTCCTTTCTCATGTATGATGTGCATGTGTGTGGAGGCACAAGGTTGACTTTAGGTGTCTTTCTTGATTGCTCTTTACCTTACATATTCAGACAGGGTGTCTCACCGTTTTGGCTGGTCTAGCTCAGGAGATGGAGCCCTAGACTGCTAAGGGGATGCCTTATCTGCTTCCCTTGAGCTGAGATTAGAGATGGCCTGCCCTGCCCAGCTGGCCTTCACATAGGTGCTGGGGATTTGTGGGTCCAAATACCAACCCTCAGATTTGCATAGTAAGCACTTTACCTGCCAAACCACTTCCCCAGTCCCCAAAGAGAATTTCTGTGGCTCACTGAACTTGACTTCATCTAATTCTTCAGGGGTAAATATTTTCTGAGGAGTAACTACTGTAATAAGGGAATGTGAAGTGTATCTTTTGAAGTTGTGATCAAGAAGAAATAGTAAGCATAAATCTTAATGTTTTCATTGCTTATACTAGGTATAATTCATTTTAGCCCACATCTGTAAAGAATGTAACGATTACTCAATGCACACAAATCCAGCTCTACAGATTATGCGGTACCATCTAGCTGGATTCCCTTCAGGATCTGCTCAGGGGGAGAATTACTCAGGTCAGAATTGTGATGGCAGATAAAAGGCCTAAGCCCTCTACCTTCAGGATCTTTCTGTTGCTTTGGAGAGAAAATGTGCACCAGGCTTGCATCTTAATTTGAATATGCTATCTCTTACCCGTGTCTGATGATTTAGTAGTGTACCACTGGGCTGAAAGGTCTGAAACCCAAAAGACAGCTGGAAGCGGTCAGGCAAGGGCACATCCAAGTTTGTGAAACTCATCTGTCCTCCTCTGGAGAACGAGGCAGTTCGCACAAGCTGAAATGCAAACATGGAAATGACTGGCATTATCATCGTCTCCTGGGTGCTCAGATATGGGCGCTCACACTGCACCACTTCCCTAGAAATGGCAGGCGCCATTAGTGCAGTTCAGACAGCTTTGCTCTGCCACACCCTCGGGTTCTGTGCATCTAGCTGAGATCACAGGCAGTGCACTAAGCCGGCTAGCTGCTGCAGCACCACGGGCCATCTGGGATACAATGTGTCACGTGGCTCTGCATCCCGCCCTTACCTTCCAGTCTTCAGAGCACTTTTTGGTTACACCCACAGTATCATTCAACCTAACAACACCGCTGGTTTTCTTCAGATTCCTCATGCAGCCTTGGAAAGCAGGAGTGGAGATGTTAAACCTGGGGAAGGAATGTAGAAAAAGAGACCGTTGAGCCTGGGCTCCCCAGAAATGCTGGCTGCCTGGTGTTTCTCAAGGGACGGAAAGTCTAGAAGTGCTGTAAATGGCAGGTATTATAGAAACATGTACTTGGAAGTTCAAGAGCCAAAAATGTGTTTAAAAACTTTAGGCTATATTTTTCCCACTTGTTCTGTGAACTCCGAGGAAACTGTTACTTTTTAGTTCTATGAAATTACGGAAAACATGGCTGATGTAATCAATGCCAAGCTGTTGCCCTGGGTTTGAGTCTATCTGCTACCTCTGAAGCATGCCACCAGAGCAAGCGGCTGTTATGAAGATTAAACACACGGACGCTCAGAGCCTGGAATGAGGGTGAATGCACCACCGTGTGTGAGAGGCCCGGAAGCAGGGGAGGGCTGTGGGCTAAGGAGCTGGGCTGTCACTCAAGTTGGGTGCCTGCTTGCCCAGGCAACTTTACTCCTCCACCCCTCCAATCCAAAATGAAAAGTCTGATATTCTGCTTCATGGGTCTGTCATATGCTTAATTTAATATGTGCGATACACTCACACAGCACTTAGGGAAAGTGAGGACTCGTTGTCACCCGGCTACGTCACTATTTACCCGACATATGACACCCTACCTTGCCACCCTCGATCATTATGGCATCAATTCTTCCGGCTGTGCGGTGTGTGTTGCATGTGTGTGTGTGTGATTTGTGTGTGTGTGCACACTGAAGCCGAGGTTAACAAGATGCCTTTCTCTATTGCGCTCCACCCTATTTTTTGAGACAAGGTCTCTCACTGAAGCCGGAGCTCAACAACTCAGCTAGACTGGTGGGCCAGGATGTCAGAGGGATCCCCTTGACTCCGCTACTAGCACTAGAATTAAAGGCACACACTACCACGCCAGACTTATTTTATATGGGCACTAGAGAGCTGAGCTCAGGTCTCATGCTTGTTCAGGGAGTTCTTTATGGAATGTTGCATCTTTCCAGGCCTACCCAAGCAATTTCTGCAGCAGACTTTTCTATGTGCTGCTCTGAATTTCCCCTTTGATTGGACTTCCTGACCTGCGTGGAGCTGAATTCATGAAAAATATTAAACACACATGAACTGACTGAGGTCCAGACAAATATTAATGTTTCTTAATCAGATGATGCACTAAAAAAACCCAGCACTGATTTCATTGTGAATCCCCAAGGCAGCTCTGCTAATCCAAGTGGAAAGGCGTCCTGCCTTCAGTATAGTCCGAATCGTTATAAAGAGCAGAGCTATGAAGAGTGTACATAAAATTGAATTTCATAAAAAGAAAAGCGCACCCTCGTTGGCACGGTGGCATAGTTATTTCATAAAGACAGCTTTCACCGTGGAGAAGAGGGATGTCTGTTTCAATTCTGGGGCTGGTGTCTTTACAAATGTGTTTATATCCATTCTCTTGGGCCAGCTGAGAGCCCAGCCTTCCATAGGCCCTCCAGGATGCGGGTCTGAACATACTTGCTAGAGGAACCGATTATGCCGGGGCATGTGCTGTTCACGTCACGTCAGTGACTTCCTATGTCAGAGTGAATGTGTGCACTCTGGGCCCTCTGCCCACCGAAGCTTACCCAGCTCACTGGTTGGGGTCCGCAGATGTGAATGAACAAGAAAAGCACAAAGTAAAGCTGCACCCAGTGTGTGTCGGACCCCTGGGGGACAGTCACTTTCCAGTGACCTTTGTTTCTGTGTTTATGATTATCTCAAACCCAAGGGAAAATGGCCTGGTTGGTGCCAAGTCCTCTGAATATATCCGGAAGGACTTGTCGACTGGATCGACAGACACATGATTCCCGTTTATAATCTCAAGTCATTCAAAGATCTGGGTGCTCATTCCCAGAAGACTGAGAGGGAGGAGAGCCACGACCTCTGCAGAGCAAAGCTGCAGGACACAGCCTGGCTCCATCAGGAGTGCGCTCTCACTAGGCCACCGCCCTGCAGTGACCCTGCAGGGACAGTTGCAGGGGCTTATCCAGGTGGATAAGACAGGCCAGAAACAGATTAATACTGCTTAGCATTTTATTTCTGAAGAAACAAAAGGCCAGGTAAATATTTTCGTGGGCCCCCACATACTTCACTTATTTCTCTGCTCTTGTGATTTTAATTAAAACAAGAAAGTAAAGTGTAAGCTTACTTAGGAAAGGGGGGAGCCTCTTGTTTGGAAGCGTAAATCAACTTGTCAGGAAAAGTGTCTCTCTCTCCTTCCCACCTCCTCTCCCTCTCCTCCTTCCCCATATGTATATTCCTAGTCTACACCTGCCCATGAAGGTCTTTAGTGGGTAAATCAGTAGATGCATCCAGTTGTCCTCAAGTTAGCATCCCACTGGCCTCTGTGTTCCTGTCCTTCCAAGAGTGACAAGGGACAATGGGGGGTGACACACAATTCACTGAAATCCTCCCATTTTTGGATGACCAGTCCCATTTTTCAATTTTTACAATCTGGTTTTCTTTCTGGACTACTTCATCAGTATTGCAAAGTTAGCTGCTTGTGGCTGAAATTCAACTAGAGAGACTAGAATTATTGGTAGTAATCGCTGCCTGGCTGAGAAATGATCTGCTCTAATAAAACACATCACACTGGGGTGGCCAGAAGGCTCAGGGGGTAAGGGCACTTGCTGTCAATCCTGATACCCAGGACACACAACTCCCACAAGTCCTCTGTCCTTCACATGCATGCAGTGGTTCCCTCCCCCATGCAGTGGTCCCTTCCCCCCAAAACTCCACAGCATCATCTTACCTCTCTCTGATTGCAATTGGAATTCCTCCCAGATAATATGTGCCAAAATCAAATATTTCCCCTTCAATTTTTATATTATGGTCATGGTCATGCATATATATCCACATGAGTTTTCTTGATTTTCCAATTGCAATCGAAATCTGAAATGAATGGGCAACGATCAGCAAGCAACGAGACACAAACCTGTCTGTGTGGCTCAAAGTAACTGTGGCTTTGTTTTCCTTTGGCTTTGTTTACATGCATGGTAGAAGACTGCCCAGTGGAAGTATGGGGTAAAAATCTGATACTAAGACATTTGTATGTGTGCGTCCATGTGTGTGTTGTTCAAGTGCATGTGTGTGTGTCTGTGTGCATGTTCTACATATTCATCCTTACATGTGCAGAGGCCAGAAAACAACTGTAGGTGCTGTTCCTCAGGCATTGGTCACCTTTGCTTTGAGACCGTGTCTCACTGGCTGACACCACACTCTAGCCTGCTGGCCCACAAGCACAGGGACCTGCCTGCCTTTACATCCCCAGGGCTGGGATGACCAGCCCACCACATACAGCTTTTTTGACTTAGCTCTGAGAAGCTCAGGTTGGTTCCTCATACAGTGTGAGTCATCTTCCCAGGTCCCTAAAACAGTGGTTCTCAACCTGTGGGCTGTGACCCCTTTAGGACCATCACAGAATGAGGAGGTTGGAATCCATTGTCCTAAAACATTTTAGTAGAAATGTTCTCACTTGAAATTTATTTAGGTTTACATCCATGCCTAAATGCCCGAATTTTTAAGGGCACCCCCAGTTAATAAGTTCACCTTGTAACAGGTTTGTATGTTGTTTTGCCTATCTTTATTTTTTGGGGGGACACTAATTTCATTTTAAAGGTTCACTGACTTCTAGAAATTCAAATCACCAGGCTCCGAGGACATACCGTATGATCTCGCCCGTTGTTGACAGTGACTTGAATTCCTTTCTCTTTGGGTGGCTCTGAATTCAGTTTGTATCTCACCATGAGACTGCCGTCTTCTATGTCCAGGGATATGAATTTATCCTGGAGTGTGGAAACAAGGTAGATTACCAGAAGGCCTGGTTGAGGAGTCAGAAGTTCCGGTGGTTCTTGATGTACTTGGAGCTGTCAGCTTCAGGTGCCTCCAGGACTAAGCAAGAGGCAGCACTGTGAGACCTCATGCGTGGGAGGCTGATGATGGCTGACTGTTGTTAGCTGTGAGACACTGTAGTGCCCAGCACTCGGGACAAAGTCATACATGCCAGCCAGATCTGGGGGCCACACATGGAGTCATTGCTCACTTTCCTCCCTTCTCATCCAATTGACCCATCCAATATGCCTCTTAGCTCTGACATCCCCAGCCCTGGTCTCAGCCGCAGCATCCTACTCCTGTGGTCCTCCTGGTCCCCTAGATCACCTTCCACAGCGCAGCCAGAACAGCCTTCTGCAATGGCCAGTGAGCATGCTAACTTTCTTGTCCCCAGGACACAGCTCAGACTCTGTGGCAGAGGCTGCGAGGCACTGTCCGCCTCTCCACTTTATCACTGTGTCCTGCTGGCAGGTCACCTTTTGTCCTTGCAGGTTCTCATTGCCAGGCCTTTTTGTGCCCCTGTCACTGTGGGATCCCCTTCCAACGTCACCTTCTGCTTGTCCATTGGGTTTTAGAAACGGAGGCATCTTTTCTAAAGACTGATTTCATACTTCATTATTTTTCTCTCCATGATTTAAAATTGTGATGAAGCAGCAACTCACTGACCAGCAGTGCACCTTTTGTGCAATACCAGCCTTCCCCTCTGGAGGGCAGAATATGGTTCATACTGCTGAGCAGTGCCTCTTGGCCATGGACCTTGCCCTGGAGAGCCATCAGCTTGAGCCAAGTGGCAGCGACTCCCTGAGAGCAATAACCACCTCCTTAGCAGAGGCCCTAAGGATTCTTACCAAAGGCGTAATGTAAGTTTACAGACGAAACACTATTTCTGGTTCTTAGTCTCCAAGAACTTCAAATGTTCAAGTTGAGCAACCCCAATCCCCAAATTCATAATGAGAAATGCCTCAAAATGGAAACATTTTGTTTGATTATCAAAAGAACACCACAGTTCTGATGAACTTTGCTCTATGCACATTAAAAATATATTGCATGAAATTACCTTCAGTCTATGTACAATGGGTGTTTATGGAAACTAAACAGAATGCTGGGAGAAAGGAGGCAGAGTCAGAGAGAAGCCATGGAGCTGCCAGAGTCAGACATGCCGAAACTTTTCCAGTAAGTCACTGCCACGTGGCAATACACAGATTCATAGAAATGGGTTAGATTAATATGTAAGAGTTAGCCAGTAAGAAGCTAGAGCTAATGGGCCAAACAGTGATTTAATTAATACAGTTTCTGTGTGGTTATTTTGGGGCTAAGTTCCGGGAACAAACTAGCACCCCTCCTCCAACAGATAAGTGCTCAGCTCTGAGTGGACCATCACCTCTGCCCACTACTGTGGAGGCTTAGGGACCATCTATGGCAAATTTATAGCATGGATAGGGGAGGCACTCTCCAACCTCATCCCTTAATGAGTAGATACTGGCAGCTGATGGCTGCTAGGGGAAGAAAAAGTCATTCTTCTTTTTAATGTGGCCACTGGTAGATTTTCCATAATACACAAGACCCCACACATATAGACAGCACTAGTTGGACTTAGTGAGTTATCAAGAAAAAACCATGAAGTTGGGAGGGCACCATGATGGGGGGATTTGAGGAAGTTGGATAGGGAAACGGGGGCATGAATAAGATTTTATTTTATTATTCACAGTATAAAGTCCTCAAGAACAAAGAAAAAAATATTCAAAATAAAGACTGGGCCTCTTCCCTAGGCTGCTTCAAAGTACAGAAACTTCCACCCCTTGGGAAGTCAAGCTGCAGGCTCATAAAGACAATCCCCAGCTTCCAAGAGCCAGACCAAGGTCATAGCTTCAGGAAGTCCAGCCCCCGAGACTGAGGGGACTCCAGGAGGTCTTTGTTTTAAAGCAGAACTAGAAATTAGTAGGCAAGCCACCATATACAAATCTGAAACTGACATGAAAATAGGCTAGGAGGAAAATCATTCCTCATTTTGGCGGCAATTGCTCAATTCCTGATCCTTTGTCCTTGTTAAAATTTACCCCAACAGAAAAAAGACATGACTGCCCAAGGTCATATTGCCAAGCTGGGTGGGCTATTTACAATCGCCCAGTTACCTGATTGCTAGACACAGTGGATATTCAAGTCCTCTCTGGATGCTTGGTGTGAATTACCTGGTGTTCTGCAAAGAACAGCAAACCTCGGTCCACAGTCGTCTGGATGGTCTGGATGAAGCTTGGGAAGGGAGCGTTGGCTTGAGTGGGAATGCGGGCATAGCCTGTTCCTTCAAAGTAGTTTCTGTCAGACTCTTCCTTGCGCCTGTCAACACCGACTGGAAGTTAGATGTCAGCCATAAAAGACCATTTTGCAGGTTTATTTCCTAATATGAAATGCCGCTGGTTAAACAATGGACCAAGGAATGCAAAGGCTGGGGGGGTCTCGATTGTGTAGGAAAGGGGAAATGGTGTTAGCGTGTCAGCCAGTCTTCCTTCCTAACATGCTCTTAATCCCTGCACTGAAGAGGCAGCTCTGTAGGTAAAGTGCTTATGCTGTAACCACGAAGACCCCAGTTTTAATGCTCAGACCCCATACGAAAGCTGAGAATGGCAGTACCTATATGTAACCTTAGTATGGGTGTGTGTGTCGGGGGGGGGGGGTAGAGGCAGTGGACATAGGGGCTTTGTGGCTAGTCAGAATGTGAGCTCTAGGTTCAGAGAGAGAGCCTGTCCCAAATATAAGGTGGGGAGTTGGAAAAAGACTGATGTCCACCTCTGCTCACCTATCTGTGCATACAGGGATGAATAAAGCAGACACACATACACATATCATGTAAACTTAGGGGGAGAGAGGGATGGAGGGAGGGAAAAAAGGAGGGAGGGAGGGAAGAACAAAGGGAGAGGGGAGAGAACATCTTCTAGAGATGTCTATTTAGGAGAAAGTGGCCAAATAGCTGAAAATATTTAAATGTAAGAAATTATTAATTTTCAGTGTTAGTTTATGAATAATAAATGTTTGCTATTCTCAGATAAGAATATCTCAAATCCTTTAAATTGTAGGGATGGGTAGGAACTCAAAAGAGCAGGTGCCGGTTTGCATAAGAACGGCTTCTATAGGCTCAAATGTTTGACTACTTAGTCAGTAGGGAGTGGCACTGTTGGGAAGTGTGTCGCTGGAGGTGGGCTTTGGAGTTTTGAAAACCCAAGCCAGGCCTAGTGTCTGTCTGTCTGTCTGTCTCTTTTTCTGCTGCCTGCAGATCTGGATGGAGAACTTCCAGCTACCTCTCCACTGAGCCACCATGTCTGCCTGCGTGCCACCGTTCTTCCCATCATGACAAGAATCGACTAACCCTGAGCGTAAGCCAACAGCCCCTGTTAAATGCTCCTTTCCTAAGAGTTGCCGTGGTACCGTTCTTCCCATCATGACAAGAATCGACTAACCCTGAGCGTAAGCCAACAGCCCCTGTTAAATGCTCCTTTCCTAAGAGTTGCCGTGGTACCGTTCTTCCCATCACGACAAGAATCGACTAACCCTGAGCGTAAGCCAACAGCCCCTGTTAAATGCTCCTTTCCTAAGGGTTGCCGTGGTCATGGTGTCTCTGCACAGCGATAGAACGCTGACTGACACAGAGTAACTTTCAAATAGGTTCAGAAGGCAAAGTACATAGAAAATCACTCAGTTTGTAGACTGTCATTTAAATTTTAATTACATAATTATGTGCCTAAATAATTCAATATTGAGTATTGCCTGTAGTAGGATGCACCAAATATTTAAGATTCATTTTTTAAAATTGTGTTCCTTAGCAAGTACGTGTGCTACATATGTGGGTGCGTGTGCCCCAGTGGAACATGTGCCTGAGAGGGCAACTTGTGGAGTTCATCTCCTCCTTTTACTTTTATATGGACGGGGCTCAAACCCCAGTCCTGAGGTGTGTGCAGTAAATGCTGCCACCCCTGGAGCTACCTCACAGTCCCCCAAACAGGCCTGCTTCCAGAACCTGAGGAAACCAATCTCATGTAAACTAGGGCAAGATGGGTGTCCTCTGATCTTAGAGGCATAACACGGTGGGTGTTGTCTGCAAACAGGAAGGAAGCAGTTCTGGCCCCAGGCAATGCATTGCAACACCAGCAACCTTGCCTGCCCATCACTGGTCGAAGCACAGCAGTGTCCATCCCCAGCCAGGTCCTAGGGACAAGGGCCTCCAGGCTTCATTTACCTCCTACAAGGCTCCACTTCAGTTGTGTTGAGATTGAAAGTTGTCTTGAAGTTGTACAAGCTCAGAACATTCTCATTGAGGTCATCTAGTTCGATACAGCCCTTGTATGGAGGGAACCTCAGTCTGCTAGGCAGCTGTGAGAGAAACAGGGTCACGTGGCGCTAAGACTTAACAGTCAGCGTAACTTAGGGTGAGAATGTGGTTCCGGCTTTGCCATTTAAGAGCTCTCTAAACCCAAGCTAAGTGTTAATCTGTCTGCCCGAGTGTCATCATCTATAAAATAGGAGTGATATTAATATTTACAAGTGCAGTACATTAAATTAGTGCTCTTAAGCTTAGAATGGTGGACAAAGGAAGTGCACGTTAGCAGTTCTCACCACGTGCGCTTTACGAGCACATGGTTGATTCCCTTTGCCTAGAATGAGTTAAACAGAGCCTTGAAGTCACTGTAAGCGCCTCACTCAGTGAGCCAGCATTGACACTTACTTGAAAATCCGGGGGGTAGCCTCCGACATAGAACACAGCAGTCTCTGGATCCAAGTTAAGGAGTGTGTTGCTGCTGTCGCCCTCCATGTCATAGACCTCAGGGGCTCTGGGTTTATTGGATGTGGCTTCCTTGGTGTAATTAAGTTTTGCAAGCTGATAAATTCTGTCGAAAATTAGATAATGAAGTTGTAAGAAAAAATGAAAGAATTCAAAGCTTACACACTAAAAGCATGGCCGAGTGACATCGACTGAAGAGTTTGGTGAGGTTGGACAGCTTCACAAACAGCAAGAGTCGGTCCAACACCGTACCTCTGGAACTTCACTCGGTCCATAACCGCCTCCTGACTCTCACTCTCCGTCAGCACCTGGTCTACCTGGACCTCGGCTTCTCGATTCCCTAGACTGTAGACACATGTCAAGCGACCGTCTACAACTGCCATGCCGATGTAGTCCTTGGAGGCCTGGGGACATAAAGGTCACCTCAGAACTCTTTGTTTAAAACGAAACAGCACTGGGGTTTCTTGAAGATATTTTAAAACAGAGTTTAAACATGACAGATAAGACAGCGAGGCAGTCAGAAAACATCCCAGAACACGTGTGTGGCGAGAACTTAGAACTCTTCAAACATTACAAATCCTCATTTTCCATATCAAGAGGTCCCTGAATGTTTTATTGCATAAATAATGGGTTTTATACCATAGGATTTGGGAGGACAGAATACATAACGTGTACCTCTTACAGACCACTACAGAACCCTTGGATGGTAACGCCGGAGCTGTCGCCTGCGTTTTAGTGGACTGGGTTACTGACTCCCCCACTGTTCAATCTCTAGTCATCTATGAGCACCTACTACAGGGCAAGCAGACTTAACTGCTCATTAGAGTTCATCAGGAAGGGAGGCAAGCCACCCCTCTTCTCTGGGTGCCATGCAGAGTTCTCTGCTATGACATTCCCCATTGTCACACACAGTGTGTGTGTCTCTCTCTTCTCTATTAGAATGGGAAAACCTAAGGAAGAAACATCTATAGATAGAAAGATAGATAGATAGATAGATAGATAGATAGATAGGCTAAAACTGACAATTTTGACCTTTTTAAGTGTGTGTTGGCATTCAGGACATTTAAGAAATGAATTTTAGTTTATCATAAATATCAACATGGTACATAATTAGGGCAGTTGTCCACCTGCATCAACTAGGGGACTGTCTCAGAACCTATGGGGACCTCAGTCTTGCAGTCATTTATGTGAAATGGCAAAGCACTTGCATGTAATCTGTGCACAACTCTTGTTTCTCATTGGTGGACTACATCCATGATGAACAGGAGGTCCCCCATAGGCACCACCACAGCACTTAGGAGGTGATAGTCACAAGTCTCAAGGTGGCACCGCCAAAACCATTCTGTTAGTAAAATAAGAGAAATATCCGAACACTTCTTACATCCTTATTTCCGAGGTACATCACAAACATGTCCTCAGTGCCCCCGTTCTCTCGTAAGTCGGGTCTTTGGAGAAACAAAGACAGAGATGTGTATCCCTTTAAATCTTCTAGGTCATTTGGCAGCCGGACTTGGACACCAGATTTACCATTGAACCTCATGGGAACTGCAACCTGTGAGGAAGAGGAGGATGGGAGAACAAGGTGTCAAACAACTAAGACAAAGAGGATGCGTTCAATGACAGAGTTCTGTCGCCGTCCCCCCAGTGACACATCAATGTGCCAAGCTGTTGTGAGAAGCATCAGGGAGGGGTGCTGTCTCTTGGACCCAGGTTGTTTTTATTTTTATTTTTTTATTTATTTTGGTTTTTGAGACAGGGTTTCTCTGTAGCTTTGGAGCCTGTCCTGGAACTAGCTCTTGTAGACCAGGCTGAATTTGAACTCACAGAGATCCTCCTGCCTCTGCCTCCCAAGTGCAGGGATTAAAGGTGTGCACCACCACCGCCTGGCTATTTTTTTTGTGTGTTTTACATATATACACACATATATGCATACATACACACACATAAGTCTAGATGCACATACACACACATATATGTCTGAGACAAAGTCTTACTCTGTAGACCAGGCTGACCTCAGACTCATAGAAATCCACCTGTCTGCCCCTCCAGAGTGCTGGGATTAAAGACTGCACCATCATAGCCAGCTTGGACCCAGGTTATAACTTTATGAAGCTGTCTGCAGAGCCATATATTCTTTATGTGTATTGACTGAGGGACATTAAGAAGCCAACTTAGTCTTCTGTGAAGCGATGATGGGGTGGCGGTGATGATGGTGATGACAGTTAATAGCACTTCCTACCCCACAATTAATATTCATGGATTTAATGCTCACAGAACCCCTTATGACAGTGCTTGTGGTTAAAATGTGATACATTAAGATACTTTAAATATGAGTTTCTATTGTTGTTGAGACAGTATTAGTGGTTCAGGCTGGCATCAAGCTTCCTCTACATCTCAGGATGGCTTTGAATTTGTCATCCTCCTGCCATCACCTCCTAAGTGCTATGGTCACGGGCATGGCCCACAATATCCAGCACTCTAAGGTACTTTTTCTAAGGGAATTGATTGCCAATGAGTATGTTACACACTATGCCTGCATTTATTACAGACATTCAGAATTGAATATGCATGTGTGGGGTGAGATATGGCTCAGTCAGTAAAGGGCACGCAAGCATGAGAACCTGAGTCTAGATCCCTAGTACCACACATGTGAGCACACACACTCGTGAGCACACACTCTGGCACACACTCGTGAGCACACACTCTGGCACACATTCATGATCACACACACACACTGGCCCACACTAGTGAGCACACACACTCGTGAGCACACACACACTGGCCCACACTAGTGAGCACACACTCTGGCACACACTCATGATCACACACACACACACACACACACACACTGGCCCACACTCATGAGCACACACACACACTGGCACACACTTGTGAGCACATACACTGGCATTAAGATTCTAGGCTGTGCACCTCAGATACTCTGTGCTAGAGGCCCTGTCCTGCTCTCCCCCTCCAATCTGTCATGAATCAATATGTTTATAACATTAAAATTACTAGAAAAGTAAAATAAGGGAGTGATATGAAACAGAGGTCCACCAACCACATGCGGTTCAAAGAATTAAAACTTTACAGACTACTGTTTAATATCATATAGATGTTATGAACTGTCAGCAAGAGTCTTCCAGTTAGCACAGGTCTGTGGACCACCACTGGTCAGATCCAGTCTAAAACACAGAAAACAAATATCCCCTAGCAATCAAAAGAATAACTATCTTGGGATGATACCCGAATGATACTAACATATGCTTTATCTATCCAGCATTGGAGTGTTTCCTGACACCTTAGACATGTGGTGTGTGGCCAGGGTCCTCTCACACACTTTGTGAGCTCACAAGAGGGCTCTCTCTTCCACACACCACCTGCCCTCCTGTAGACCCACCCACACTGCTGAGTCTCCTCCTGGCAAGCTGGTTGGCTTGCTGTCTCCTGGGGAACTCATCTTTGTTTTATAAATTGAAAAGAAACTTTGTGTGGACAGTAAAAGATGGAGGCTACACACCTGCGTTTATGTCCCCACCTTAAGAAAGGAAGCCTACCTGATAGCATTTTCCTGCAGCCTCCTCTCTCTTCACAGCCACCACCACCCTGGAGCTGGGATCTTAAGCAATGCTCATGCAGCTTTTACTGTTTTCACTACCTAGAACTCATCTGCGACTCTAGATGTGTCTACTTCCTGTCTAGACCTCACCTATGACTCTAGATGTGTCTACTTCCTGTCTAGACCTCATTTACAACTCTAGATGTGTCTACTTCCTGTCTAGTCCTCATCTATGACTCTAGATGTGTCTACTTCCTGTCTAGACTTCATCTACAACTCTAGATGTGTCTACTTCCTGTCTAGACCTCACCTACAGCTCTAGATGTGTCTACTTCCTGTCTAGACCTCACCTACGACTCTAGATGTGTCTGCTTCCTGTCAGCTATAGCTACTCTATTTTTCACATTTAAATATTTTCATGTAAATGATATAAGCCAATACTTTTACAATTTGATTTCTTGACACTATATTTGTAGATTGATCCGGGTGATATGCATGAATCCAGCTCATTAGAATTTAGTACTGCCAACAGTTGGCTTTTTCTTTAAAAACATGATTATATAAAGTATATTGCAACAAGCTTCCCTTGTATAGGGTGTATGTGTGTGTGCCTGTATCTGTATGGATTGTGTGTGTGTGTGTGTGTGTGTGTGTGTGTGTGTGTGTGTGCAGGTACACATGTTTGATTGTGAGAGGAGACCAGAGGAAGAGGTAAGGTGTCCTGCTCTATAGAGCTTGACTTATTCCTTGAGAAAGGGTCTTTCTCTGAGCTTGGGGCTTGACTGGCAGCTATCAGGTCCCAGTGACCCTCCTGTCCCCACCCAGACAGTGTCTGTGTCCTCCAACTCCACAAAGATGGGCTGTCAAATGGAAAGAGTCTAGGTCCTGACCTTGCAATTACAGTTTAAAAAGTGAGGCCTGAGAGAAACTCCTTCCTGTCTGTGAACTCAAACTTTATCAGTTTGTGTCTGATAAAACACAAAATTTAGGTGACTGGGACCATGTACATTTTGAAAGGTGACAAAAGGAAGTTAAACTTCATTTAAAATCAGAACTCAGAGAAGACAGACAACCAACTCTTGCCTAGAGAAAAGCCTCCCTGTCTGGGTGATCACAGCAGCGATGGCAACATGGAAACACCCACCTTATTGGCAGCATCTCTGGCCTGATGAATGAGTTCTCGGATTCGGTCCACATTGTCAGAGATATTTCCCAGGGGCAGTAATTGTTGGTTGATACTTTCAATCTTGATAAAAAGATCAGGCAACTTCTTGGTTAATTTCTTTACTGTTGATGAAATGAGAAAAAGGAAATTTTAATAGTACACTGAGAAAAGGTTATGCATGTGTTCTTATGGGAATATTTGTTCTGGAAATCCTGAAAACAAGATGGACTATAATCAGGCAAGATTCACCTAAATTCATTACAGATTTCTGTAATGATGTAGGTATCAATTTTTTCCTTGGTTAATATGGGAAATATTTATTTTCTTATCCTTTAATAGCAATCATACAAATACATCACGATTAAGAACTCCCACAGTACAAGAAGGAGAAGAAGAAAGAGGAGGAGGAGAAGAAGAAGGAAGAAGAGGAGGAGGAGGAAGAGGAGGAGGAGAAGGAGAAGAAAAAGAAGGAAGGAAGGAAGGAAGGAGGAGGAGGAGGAGGAGGAGGAGGAGGAGGAGGAGGAGGAGGAGGAGGAGGAAATAAAATCTCTAGGTCATGCTGGGCCTGGAGAGGTGGCTAAGTTGGTAAAGAAACTGGCTGTGCAAACACAAGGACTTGAGTTCAGACCCCGAGACCCATGTAAGGAGCTGGGCACAGAAGTATGTGCCCAGCACTGAAAGGTGGAGATAGGAGAATTGGTGAGATTGCTGCCAGCTAATCTGCATCATATGAACTCCAGCTTCCATGAGAGACCCTGCCTCAGAAAATAAAGTGAATGTGGTTGAGGAGATGGCCCAGTGCTGCTGTTCAAGAATGAGGACCTGAGTGTAAAATCCCAGAACCGTGTAAACACCAAATGTGGTGGATGTGGGGACACCCGGGACTCCTCAGAAGTTCACGGGCCAGTTAGTGTGGCACACACAGAGTGAACAACAAGGGACCCTGCCTCAAAACAAAGTGGAAGACAAGAATCATCACTCAAAAGTGTCCTCTGGCTGGGCATGGTGGCGCATGCCTTTATCCCAGCACCCAGGAGGCAGAGGCAGAGGCAGGTGGATCTCTGAGTTCAAGGTCAGCCTGGTCTACAGAGTGAGTTCCAGGACAGCCAGGGGTACAGAGAAACCATCTTCTCTCTCTCTCTCTCTCTCTCTCTCTCTCTCTCTCTCTCTCTCACACACACACACACACACACACACACACACACACAACACACACACAACACACATGCACACACACACACATTGTTTGTAAGAGACAGGAAGGACATAGGGCATGTAGTACATGTCTTTAATCCTAACACTCAGGAATCAGAGATAAGCAGATCTTTAAGTTCAAGGGCAGCTTACTATACATATCAAGTTTCAGGGCAGTCAGGTATATATGGGAAATACCATACACTGAGACCTTGTCTCTGGGGGGAGAGGGGGAGGAAAATGACTGAAGAATAAACATGAACTTCTGGCATCTGTTCACCTGCATACACTCATGAACACACAAGCAAGCTCATACATACATCATATACACACCACACACACGCAGGGAAAAGGAGATATTCTCCCTGTCTCTAACACAACATCTTGATATTTGAATAGATCCCATGATACTGATTTGAGGTCAGACTTTACTAGAAAGGAGCTGCAATGGATCGAGGCCTTAGCAATGGAGAACGTCGTGAAGACGTCCTGATACCTGAATTGTTGGCATCGGCCAGAGCATTGCTGAAGTCCTCATGTCGTGTGCTTCTGTAACTATCCTTAATTCGTCCCAAGTCTGTCTGGATGGGGTTGAGCCCATCCAGAATCTCGCTTGTTACGCCATTGGCCTTCCTGACCATGCTCCTCACACCGTGGATCACACCCTCAGTATCACCTAGAACACACAAATAGGGAGGGAGGCATAAGGACCTGGACATTCTTCCCAAGAACCGGTGAAACTACGGTCTAGGGTGATGATTACCTCTCTGTAACCCATGAAGACTGTCCCGGGCAGCAGTGAGGTTGGCATCCAGCAGGTTCTTCTGAACTGAGACAGTGTTCAGGGTTTGGTGCAGCCTGTTGAGAGCTGGACTGACTTCTAAATGAAGGAATGAAGAAAGAAAACACCAAGAGGCAATGACTTCATGGAGTTGGATCTTCTGTGGGTATTTGTGGTCTCTGAAGTGGGCAATGTCTTCAGACCATTGAATATCTTAGCCTTCACCCACCAATGCCACTGCAGTACCCATCCCCACAGCTGTGGGGTCTCTGGAGACAGAGGCTGGAAGAGCAGTGTACCAGAGCCTTGTGGTGATTGGCTTCTCAAAAGGACACACAAAGATGCAAAATAACTCAGGAGACATCTGGACTTCCACTCTGACCTGAGCAGAGGAGGCTTCTGAAGGGCTGTCCCAACATACAGTGTGTGGCTGGCACTGCCTAGGATGTAAGGTTACCCACACCCGTTCAATGAATGAATGAATACTTGGATGAGCAAATGAATGAGCAGCAGGATTGACTTGCAGCCAAGACGAGGCTGTTCCTGAGAGAGCCTCATGCAGAGGACTCAAAGGGAGTGTTTGTTTCTGTTCCTGCAGAACGATGCAAGAACCTGTCCCTAGGTTTCCTAGAGAGATGTTCAATGTGACACATCAAAATAAACTGATGAAGAAAATGGTACAAATCCTCATCCCTAGCTAACAATGCAGCCATCTTTGAGATGTAGAAAGTGACCAGCCAGTGTATTAACACCATGCTGGTGACACGTGGCTTCTTATGATTCCAGCAACACAGTCAACAGCCCAACCTACTTAGAACACCTGTCTTGGCCACAGCCACAAGTCACCCTAGCACTGAAGAGGTGGAGATAGGAGGATTGATAGAGGGCGTGCTTCGTATGTTCAAGGCCCAAGTCTGATTAACAGCGCCATGAAAAATAAATATACAAGCAAACAACTGCAAATGCTCCATGTCAATCCAACTCTAAGCCCAGTGTTATAAAGAAGGCAGACATAATTCCATAAAATCTTAATGTTCTGAATGCATATCAGAAGATACTTTTTGTGCATTTGATTTTCAAAAATATTTAGTAACTAAATAAGGGCCTTCATCCAGTCCTCAGAATGGACTCAGTAGCCGATCAAGGACTGAGAGCCCAGACGCCCGCCTGGCCGTGGCTTCCTGCGAGAGACCAGAAAATTTCCAGAGGCAGCATTTTCAAAGCTTGGAGATTGCTGGGTTTCAAATGGCTGTAGTTCCTGTGTTTCAAAGCCTCTACCCCTGAACTATGCCCCCATGTTAAGACAATTTAATTATTTTTAAGTACATGAGATGAAAAATTAGCAAAGATAAATGGTTAAAGATACCAAAGATAAAATTAATAGTTAAAATTTTCTTATGGCCCATGTTGGCAGTGATTATTTTTTGATACTTTGAGTTGCTAAGCTTTTAGGGCTTAAGGTAACTTGAAGCAGTTGCTGTAATGATCTAGGATGAATGGCCTTCATATGTGGCTTCCCACTACCAGAATTACCAGTGTATTAAGTATGTCTCCAAAGTCAGGCCCAGGAAGGCTAGCATTCTCAACTTCGTCATCTGCATAAGACCCACGTCAAGTTCATGCAGGATGGATAGGAGCTGTTTAGGACTCTTGGTAAATGCACGACATCAGATAACATAAATCACGAGTGCAGAAGTGCCCTTTGCATTGACAGTGGGATCAGAAGACACTTTTTCATCAGACTGCCCCACATTCCCACAGGTTGATTAGCATCCTTGGTTGTCCCCACCATCCACCCTCCTAATACCTTGCTGGAGCCTTTTCTGTGTGACCTTGGCTTCATTTAACAGTTCATCGCTGTCGGAGCTCAGGGTCTTAGCTCTTCTTGGAAGATCTTCCTTTATCAGTGTCTGAAAGCAAAATATTTATCAGCCTTGAGCAGACACTACTCCTTAGCAAACGCAGAGAAAGATTTTTCACCTTAGCCCCAAATCCCTTGTCTTTAATCTTTAAAGAACAAGATTTGAAAGAGATGAACGACACACTGTTGACTAATGATGCGGTTAGGACTCTAGGCAGATGTGTGCCTGTGGCCCGGGGAGCTGGGCTGATCTCCGGTGACAGATGTCTAAGCTTGCACAAAACCCCTGCAATCATTTAGTTGCCTTGAGGCTTTCAAGCTTTGGAACCTGAAAGTCTTCGATCTTTCAAAGCTCAGCTTCCCAACTCTATTATTTCGTGTTCTAGCCTTTATATCTTGGCTATAGGGACATTATACAGTACAGTAAAGATCCTGTAGGCTTCTGTAGACATGCCCAGATTTAAGACCAAATTGCTAAAAAAAAAATGGCAAACCAGGTAATTCCAAAAATCTTTCTTTTGGTAATAAATATCAACCATTAAGGCATAAAACACCTACTTTAAAGGAGGATAAACTATTTGTTTAGTTTCAAAATAACATTGGTATGTTTTTCTATCTGATTGTACAAATACATTTTATATTACACTCCTGATATCAAATAGTCAGTAAGTGCAGACATGATCCAAACCAAGAACAAACTCAAGTCAATTACATTTAACAAGCTCTGATTTTGAATAAATAGTATTTTTAATACTGTCCCATGCATGGGAGAGTAAGCAAACAAACTGCCTCCAGAGCCAGTCCAGCAAGCCAGGGCAGCTCCAGGTACCCACTTGGAGGGCAGACTCCGAGGCGCTGGTGGCCTTGTTGGCTGCATCTTCCGCTGCTCTGATGGCACTGAGGATGTTCTCATAGGCAGTGGCAGCATCCACAGCACAGCGTACCAGCTCATCCCCGCTGGTATTTTTCTTTATCCTGGAAGATGATACAGGATGAGTATAGGCCACGCAGCATCCTTTCTCTGCCCGGGGCTGATATTCTCCCAGTGACTGCACTGTGCTGTGCACTTGCCATTCTGTCCACAGGACACAACCAGGGGGCAAGTCTGAATTTGACTTGGACTACGGGTTCTGGATGGGGCTTTGGCCTTGATTAAGCCCTCTACCCTGCTCCCAGGTCCTAACCAGCCCAGTGAAGACCTTGCTTGGTGCTCAATCGACCCACAATGTCTGGATCTGCAGCCAGGCACTCACTCTTCCAGCTGCTTGGCCAGTTCCTGTAGAGACTGCGCATGCTTCTCGGCCTCCACCACCACGGATGCTTTGCTGGCCGACCTGGAGAGTTCTCGCACTTTGCCGCTTAGTTCCTGTCTGGCTCCATTTAAAGCCGCAGCCAAGCTTTCGTACTCCTATTTTTTTCAAAATAAACAATATAAATTCAAGCAGTGAGCATGTGTGCCATTTTCTCAAACTCCCTCACAAATTGTTTCTCATGAGAATTTATATTTTCTAAGTCATTTTTATCATATCAGCTTATCCTGAGTTCAGACAGTGGCATTGACTATAATCCAAATTTTTTCACCCTCTTGAATATCTTCCTTTCGATGGGCACCATCTTTATAAGGTTTATGTAGCTCCAATGTCATCCTCAAGGTGAGGCTCTGCTAAGTGAAGGGCTTCTACTGGTATAAAGACAGAACGGGAAAGATTCTTTCGAATGCCCATAAGGCTGCTGAGAAGCCTGTTGGGTTTTTATCAAGTCTGATGCCTTCCACTAAGAAAGGCATGTTTGGTATTTTTAAGACAGCATTGCAATGCTTTTTTTTTTTTTACTTGCTCATTGCAGACAAATGAGGTAATGCAGGTGGATTAAGGCACCCAGCACTCATACTCCCTCCCAGCAGAGAGCTGCTGTTATTATTTGGGGGTGCACAGTTCTGTCTAAAAAGGATAAGCTCAAAGTAGGTTTGCCTACTGCATCGTCTCCTGACAATAGCATTTCACTGGTTTGGATGTTTCTAGAAAACCAGAGTCTGCTACCTTCTGACTTTTGTCCATTTGCTGCAGTAGACTGTTGGTCTGCAGCAGGGAAGAGTCTGCCGTGGCCAGGTACTTGGCGAAGTCGTTCTTCAGAGAATTCATTTCTCTCATTTGTCTCTGGAGAGAATAAAAGAGCCCGTGGGCACACACATTAGCAGAAAGCACAGACAAACTTACAGGACAACAGCAAATAAGACAAAGTCAATGTTTTCTTGAAGCCGACAATAGCCTAGCTTGCTGCAAGTGATTGATAGGGCCTGGATTCCCACTGTGTGTTGCTGAGTTACTATGGTACCCTTTGCTTCCATGGCTGAAGAAGTCTCATACACTGGACAACTCCACTGGTGATGTGAGGCATGTTACTAAGATCTGCTTTGGAGAACAGAACATAAGATTTCAACTAAATAAATGAACTAGGACCAATCACCTCCACACATCAGTCCTAGTAAGTGTGCAGCAGGCACTTGAATGAGAGACAGCACAGGGCAGAAGTATGCCAGGTTGGAAGGCTTAGAGGCTGGGGCTCACACTGCTGGAGGCTGCCCTCTTCCTTGGCATAAGCAGAGATGCAAACAGAGGCACTGCTATTCAGGATTGCACTGCACTAAGCATGTCACCCATAAGGCAATACTGGCTGTCTTTCTCCTCTTTGTGTGCCAATCCACATTATTCAACTCTGGTCTATCATTTCACAATCCTTCATGTTTGTTTTGTTTCTTTTTTTGCTGTTGTTTTGATGTAGGATATTCACCATTAAAAATATAAACTATAGAACTGAGGTGTTGACTTGATGTTAAAACAATTGCCTGACATGGGACCCCAGGGCTGATTCCAAATGCGACCAAAAAGAAAGTCTCTGCCTGCCTGCCTGCCATCTTGCCATCCACCCACCCATCTATCTGTCTGTCTATCTATCTATCTATCTATCTATCTATCTATCTATCATTGATCAATCTATCATGTGTGTATGTGTGACTGTGTGTGAGTGACTGTGTGTCGCTGTGCATGTGTGTGTCTGTCTGTATGCATCTCTCTCGTATGTATTTGTGTGTGCTGAAACCTTAATCTCTAAATTCTGCCATTATAATGGCATGTGACCTAAATATATTTCTGCCTCTTTCCTATACACAGGTAGATAAATGTTTCAGTTGCCTGTATTGGTGATTATTATAATATCTAACACAATGTTAATGGAAACACATTGGATGTGACATGATGAATCTCTCATCCAATCAGCAACGTCATTCCTCTGACGCCCTCCAGCTGCGGGCAGGCTCTCTCTGTCAGCGGACTCAGAATCCTCTGGTAGCAGGGAAGCGAAATGACTAGTCTTCCATTTAATGCCTCGGTCCTGTTTGATCAGGGTCTGAGGTGCGCACTCCTGCCTCTCTGTTCCCTCTTCTGCCTGTGGCTCACCTGGATGGCTCCCAGAGCCCCCTCATTTTCACGGTTGAGGCCAGTGGCCCGCTTTGCCTGGGCAGCTGAGTCCTGGAGGACAGCGCGCAGCTCCTGAAGTTTGACTTCATAATCACTTAAGGAATCCCGAATGTTCTTCAGCAGTCCGTTGTTTTCCACCTGGTGGGTTTCCAGCCAGGCCCTGACCCGGTTCAGTACTGCAACACAGAATTTATGATTTCACCTGAGAGATGAGTTTATTGAAGCTCGGTGCCAGAACTACGGGAAGAGAGCCAGCTCCTGCTCGTTCCATGGTTCCCACAGCCTTGGAGGGAACAGGAAGGCAAAGCAGGACTTGTGTAGACCTATCATGTGTGCTTGCTCCATGATGGTTCCCACAGCCTTGGAGGGAACAGGAAGGCAAAGCAGGACTTGTGTAGACCTATCATGTGCGCTCGCTCCATGATTCCCACAGCCTTGGAGGAAACAGGAAGGCAAAGCAGGTCTTGTGTAGACCTATCATGTGCACCCACGCACTGCCTTATGTGGTTGCTATGACAAGCACATGAGAACAGTAGCTGTTCTGAGAACATCAGCTGCTGCTGAGAAGACAGACTCGTGGATGAATGGCCTTAGATGTGGGACTTGAACAGAATAGAAAGCCATGATTCTTCCACTGCTAAAAGCAGATACTAATGCTGATTAGCACAAATGCTACATGTCAACTACAACCTGTATGTGTGCCCTAGATACAACATTTTATCAGAGAATACATATCCATTCTAAAAGATACGTGCTAAATTAATTTGGTTATTTTGACCCAGTGAGGCATTTTCTCTACTTAAAACCTTTACATATACCTAATCAAATTCTTGGATATTTGGCTTGGGGCTTTGTTTTATAATAATAATGCCAATGTAAACTTGTGATAAAAAACTCAGCAGTGGTAAAATAATAATTCTTAAAAATGGTTTCTTGAAGCTATGCTTGGTGGCTCATGCCAGTAATCCCATCACTTGTGAAGCTGAAGTAACAGCCTGAGCTAAGAGTGAGACTTTGCCTCAAAGAGAAAAAAGCGGGGGAGAGCAAGACACAAATATTTGCATTTTAGAACCATTTTTGAGGTCATTTGCACTGTGGTAGGGTGTTGTGCCTCTCAGAAACTTGGAGAAAAGATTCTGCCCCATTCCCACTGCAACCTCTAGCAGCAAGGTTTGCTGAACTGAGACCTTCCTCCTGCCGCCCAGAGCTCAAGACTGCGCTTAGAAAACTGCATTTGAGTTGATTAGAGGAGACGGAGGAATCGGGGCTGGCCTTACAGTGCTGGGCTTCTGCTTTCTCAGCCTCTGCTTCTCTGAGGTGTTTTCTGAAGTCTCGGCCCCGAAGCTCCTGCATCATGCGTTGGGCTTCTGCCATCTGCCTGGACCAGTCACCCGCGGGCACGTCCATGCCTTCTCCGCCTGGCCTAGCGATCTGCTTTAGGAGAACTGGAAAACACCAAGTAGCTTATTAAACTGGGGATTCTAGAAGGTTTGCGGAGAGTCCTTTTCACCTTTAAGTATCATTGTGGGATCTTTCTTTCTTAATTCTGAGCTCTCAAAAATAAAAATATTCGGTATACAGCAAAGGTTATGCAGTAAGCTTTAGTAGGGCTGGGTCACTTCTTACTGTGCACATTCTGGATGACGTTTTTAATCTTCGTGTCCAATTCTTTGGCGCTTTGCATCGTCTGATCAAGGTTGTTGTATAATGTTTGTGCTTTTCTGGAATTGACTTGTGCCTACATGGAAAACAACTCATTATGAGTGAGTTAGAGTACAGGGAAAATGAAACTGAAAACACCCCAAGGAGGAAAAGGTTAAGGTAATTGGCTCAGTACACCACCTTTTTTTGCAAAGTTTCGAATTCACTGTTCAGATTGCTCAGTTCTTTTTCCAGGCCATCCATTTTGGACCCATGACTTGAGATGGCAGAGCGGAAGTCAAGCAGCTGGCTCTGGAAAAAGACACAAAGCTAGACTCCAATCCGGAGCAGACACTGCCCAGCGGGCTCAGGTTTCTTCAACACAGTCAGTGCTGGCTCTATTGGGACGGGGTGGGGGCTGGGACATTTTGAAATAACTTACAAGATGAATCTACTTTCTGTTGTCAATTATAATAAGGTTATGAAACAAAGTTAATGTGTTAGCCCTCTCTCCACCATTACAATCCATTTAGCAAGTTATTATAAATAAAAGATCATCAACAGACGAAGAAAAAGTTGCATTTGGCTCAGTTTTAGAGGTTTTCGCCCCGTTGGTTTGGGCCCTGGGAGGCAGCGCTTCACGGTTGAAGCACATTGAGAGCTTTTCATTCCCTTGAATGAAACTGAGAAAAAGGAGGCGCTGGGGGCCAACAAAGCCCCCTTGAAAGCATGTACCCAATTCTAGAAACCTACCACCATCTCTTACATTTGGAATACCCCTTCAGAGCCGAGGCATTGTGTGTGTGTGTGTGTGTGTGTGTGTGTGTGTGTGTGTGGTGGGGGGGGGGTTATTGTGGCATTAAAGACCCAAACTACAGCAATCCAAAAGACAAGAGATTTTTTTTACTTGAATTAATGACCTTGCTTTATAAAAGCGGCACGTATAGCTATCTGTCCTGAAAGAACCCTTATATCCAAACCCTTGTATAACTGGAGGGGAATTCTGAGTGAATATACGGATATCCTCAAATTCAAATGAGGTCATTGGAGTCTTAAGAAAATCGGATGACGTGCCTGACTCAGCACAACCGACCGCCGCACTGGGTCACAATCCAGATCCCTACTCATTTTATTATTATATTATTATATTATTATTGAAAAGGTGACATTGCACACATATTTGGGATAGGGATTACTTTTAATTTTTGGAGGAAGGATGTAATACCTTGAGAGAGAGATTAAGTAAAATAATTCTATTGCCTTCATTTGTACATCAGAGACAATGTGGAGTAAAGAAAGCCTTAGGTGTGCAGATTAGCAGGTGATCCTGACACTAGGAGGATATTCTAAACTACAGGATATTCTACACACACATACACACACACACACACACACACACACACACACACACACTCAAGAGCATGCAAAGATGTTAGTTCATTTTTATTGAGCTGTTATGGAGTTTGTGTGACAGAGGAATAAGACAGATCACTGTAATTTACAGTGAGAAAGCTAAGGACCACTGAGCGGCGATGTGTGAAGGTGGGGAGCAAACCGTGGGAGCACACTGAGAGCCATGAGAGAAAGTGGGGAGCAAAGCATGGGAGCACACTGAGAGCCATGGGAGAAAGTGGGGAGCAAAGCATGGGAGCACACTGAGCGGCCATGGGAGAAAGTGGGGAGCAAAGCATGGGAGCACACTGAGAGCCATGAGAGAAAGTGGGGAGCAAAGCATGGGAGCACACTGAGCGGCCATGAATGAAGGTGGGGAGCAAACCATGGGAGCACACTGAGAGCCATGAGAGAAAGTGGGGAGCAAAGCATGGAAGCACACTGAGCGGCCATGAATGAAGGTGGGGAGCAAACCATGGGAGCACACTGAGCGGCCATGAGTGAAGATGGGGAGCAAACCATGGTCTTTTTGACCTTGGTCTTGATTTGAATTCCAGTCGTGTGAATATGCTGTTGTCCTTGCTTAGTTTCTATGTGTCGGTTAAACGACGATACTTTTTCTCCAAGAGACCTTGTGAGATGTGAGACACTAAGAACAGAGCCTCGCATCAGCTTCTGTGCAAAGCACTAAGTAATCAAAACAACTAACTCATGGGGTTTCCTTTTCTCTCACAACAAAAGGGATTTTTTTTCTCTCTATATATTAAACCTATAAACCATGGAGTTGAATTCCCTGAACGATGAAAAGGAACCATTCTTCGAGAATTATTTTCAGATGGAGCCACTGGCTTCAGCTCTCATTCCAAAAGCACTCATTAAACTTCACCCAAAGCTCCGTTCACTGTGTCTAGTCTTGGTTTTACTTAATCAATTCTTGTAGTTCAATAAATGTAGTTGGGTGTTTTCATCTCTACTCCTTCCATGAGATGCTCGCCTCATCTTGGTTCTCCTAATGGATACTATTCGTTAAGAAGGTTCAGATGTCCTACTATTTTCATTTCTCTAAGGTGCCCTCATCTCTTACCTGCTGCATTTCTGGTTAATGCGTCTGTTAAACATTTGCAGACTCAACCAGTGATTGCGAGTTGTCTCCTTCCCCCACACTTCCTTTATCATCTCTAGTGATCTCATAGTTATCACAGTCCCCCACCACGAAACCCTGTTCCCTGATTCTAAGACCAGACCATACATAGTATTTAAGAGAAGCATTTCTTCACAGCACTAAACTCTTACATTAGTAACAAGAAAGTTTTAAATCAGTAAAACAAGCTTTGATGATAAGAAACTAGAAAAGGAAGATCAAATCATTCCACAGAATGTAGAAAGAAGAAACAAAATATATGTGTAAGAGCAGAAATCAGTTTTTTGATATTATGCCCATCATAGCACTCTCGAGGGCTAACAGTAGTAGCACCCTTGAAATCCCCAATCTTCACCGCATTTCCCATACCAGCTACATGCTTCCTCCTAGCTGGTCACCCGCATGACATTTGTGCCACTATTGCACCACGGACATATATTGCCATGCTGGTCATTACTGTAGTTTATAGGATTCAGAGCTGGCTAAGATTGCTGATGACTTTCTCCACAGTAGCCTGCAGAGAACCTCCCAGTACTAAGACAGCCACTCAATAAGGAGGAAACTTTCTGGTCAGTAACGACTTGATTTCTCCATGACCTGAGCAAAATTTGTATCTCTCAGTTAGTGCAGCTCTCAGCTCATCAGGGAAGTTTCTTTGTGCAATGCCTGGTGGGTAACACAGAAACTCAGAACTGGTCCCAGTACAGAGAAGAAGTGTCAGCTGACACTCCCTTCCTCCTAAGTCTCTGGGACCATTGTAGAAGAGTGGAAATTCTATAAGAGCCAGAGCCAGGAAAGATCAGGCTGAAACAGTCTTCAGGTCATGCCGGAGCCATCACGCTCGTGACCTCGCCACAGACATGGCTGCCTGTACAAGACCTGTACAAGATCAAGCCAGTCAGCATTCCAGCATGGAGCATAAAGGGGTTCATGAGGACTGATTCCCCAAGAGAGAGCAAGTCACAGCACACTCACAAGCAACCCATCTGGATCCCCACAGAAGGCTCACCCTCAGGTCCTTGGCCTGCATCTCCATGTGCCGGATCTGTTCTAGGGCGCCGGCGCTCACACTCAGGCCCTGCAGCTTTGACTTCACTAGGCGGAGCTCCTCACCCATGCTGGCCAAGTCATTCAAGAGCGTCATCACACAGCTGTCACAATCTGCAGGGCCACAGGGAAAGCTGAATGTAGGCTGGAGCTCAGAAAAGGCACCGAGGACACCAGGGCTCTGTAGCCTGTCCCCTCAGACACCGATTATCACAGGCAGGGTCTCAGCTCTAGCCGGCTCCGGGAGGGATGTGTGCTCTGACGGCGTATGAACCGGATGCTCGAGAGCATTTTCTTCTTACTAGACATGGTGACTCTGAGCAGCTTGTTGCTTGTGTGGGGGAAAATAATAGTGACTGCCCTTTTGTGCTTATGGCGTGTCTGCTGGTGACTGTTTCGTCTACGGGGTGTCTACTAGTGACTGTTTGTGGAGTATCTGCTGGTGACTATTTTTGTTGATTGTCTCTGAGAATGGGTCTCACTAAGTAGCCCAAGCTACCTCAAATTAGTGATCCTCATGCCTCAGCACCCTACCTGATGATATAACAGACATGTGCCATGGCACACAGATCATTGGATGCTATGTTAAGTGATGTGACATCCTCAGAAAGTCCCCAGAAGTTGTTGGGGTTGGGCATCCTGTGTTTTTCTATAGGAAAAACGGAGACTTGGGAGGTAAGGTGGCCTCATGGTGGAAGACAGCAGCGAGTGGCGGGGGCAGGAGTGGAGACAACACTGTCCTTCCCCGTCCTCTTATCTTTGTTTTCCTATTCTAGAAGGTGCCTGTCCCATACAACACACACATCGTAAAGGGAGGGGGGGGTCCCCTTTTCTCACCATCGCATTCTTCTGCAGGGCTGCTATCTTTGGGCTCCTGGCCGACACAGTCTAAAATAGGGTGAAAAAAGAACATTTTTATTTAACTTGTTCTTCATCTGCCTTTTAGCTTAGACTCAGAAAGCCCACTAAGGAAGGTTTTAGTTTCATCACCGGCCCCTGCTCGCCACTTCCACCATGCCATCGCCATGAGCATGAATTTCCAGTGGTCTCCTTCACCAGCTATTACCGTCTCTTTTCTAAGAGGGGCATTTCTTGGGCATAGCATATCTCACTTTCCCTTTTCCCTCTTGGTAGAGATTCAGCTGGGGACCAGACAAACACGCTCCCACAGAGCACATCTTCAGACCTTTTGCTACTGCAGTCACTTCTGTTTGTAAGGATTTGTTTTTATTTAATTTGTGTGTATGCACATGTGCACACATGCCTCATACATGCAGATCCCTGTGAAGGCCAGAAGAGGGCGTTGCAGGTGTGAGCTTCCTTAAGCGCAGCATAGGAACTGAACCCAAGTCCTTTGGTGGAGCAGCAAGTACCTTTAACCACTGAGCCATTTGAGTTCCTCGGTACTTTTTACAAAGAGGGTCTCACTAAGTTGCCCAGGCCAGACTTGAACCTCTGAGTGCCTGCTCCAATCTCTTAAGCAACTGTTCTAGATTGGTGTTAACCCATTTGTTCAGTATTGCTTGGGGACAGCTGCTTTATTGGCTACAATCTGCACTTTCCTGGCTTAGGTCCGCTTGCCCACGACTGTAAGATGGGAGAGTTTACCTAAGTGTGTCTAAGCTACTTTCCTAAGACACTTTTTCAGCTTTTCTATGAAAGAAGTGAACATTTTTCTGTTTTGTTCCAAGCTTTTCTGAATGAATCCATACAAGCTGTGACAAATTGTCTTACACAGTGTATAACATCCACACCTCTGACTTGACACATGCCAGAACATGTATAAATAAGAGAGAAGGAACACTTGAGTTTCGTCGGGTTCACAGAAAAACAGCTGATATAAAAATAACTGTAGAGTGGACTAGAGAGAGAGCTCAGTGGTCAAGAGCTACATTTGCCAAGGACCTGAGTTCAAGTCCCAGCACCTACACCAGGTGGCCTAACTGCAATTCCAGTTCTAAGCGGCTTCTAAACCTCCCACTCCACGGACAGTGGCACTCTCGTGTGCTTACTCTCAGACAGACACATACACAGAACTTTAAAAGAAAGCTGCTTTTTTTAAAGAAAAAAAATTCAGTGTCCCAGGAACACCTCAGTAAAATCACCAATGTGTGTCTGAAGTTATCTGAGCTACAACTCATTGGAGTTTGAAAACAATGTTTTAAAAAACAACAACAACAACAAAAAACTAATGAAGTAATTGTTCCTCAAAGCTACCAATACTACTCAAGCATCCCCAGGACTGTCAAGGGAGGGCAACTTGTGAGCCAGAGGTCTATGTCATGCTTTTTAGACTACTGTCTCATAGAAGCCTTAAGATTCGGGTCACTAGGGATGTGCATGGAACTTACCTCCAGTTAGGGGGTCACAAGTGCTCAACTGGCCATTGCTGTTACAATTGCATGGTTGGCAGCTACCTCCAAATTTCTGGGGATTCCCAAAATATCCTGGTGCACACCTTCACAAAACATAGAAAGGCTAAGAAAAACGCAAATAACTATCACTTATCCACCTTATTTTCCCTATTTGAGACACCGTAGTTGGGTAATAGGAAAGGTGACCCAGGCTGGCGAGAATGAACAGTTCTCATGTTTATTCTGTTCCATAATGAGGCTCCTAAGGGTAGGAGGCAGGCAGGGATCACCCTTTAAATCCCACCTGCCCTGCTACTGACTGCCCAGTAGCTGAATGACAGGAATAAATGGTTTGATCAACACAGATGTCAGGGTGGGCTGGGTTTTATTGAGTTATGCTCCTGAAGACATCACATAAATATTGTTTTATTTGAGGCCAACATATTCAGAGAAATAAACCCAGGAATTTTAATCCTTTCCATGGAGAAGAATTTCTGTATTTCCTAATGTGTGATTTCAAGGCTGTGCAATCTATATTTATGCTAAGTTCGGCAGCGGGATATATAAGACGGTGACAGTACTAACAGGAGTCACAGCTGCTACCTCTGGCCATGGGCTATTGTCACTGTAGATAGCACAGTAAGCTGACAAGCCCAAACCTCCAAGTTTAAAGGTCATATGCTCTTGATGCTTAAATTTAGTTAGTAAGAAAAATAAAACGTATTAAATTTCTAATATTTGGAAGTCAATGAAAATATTTCTATTTATCAGTATTTCCCTATATGAGGAAGCCTGAATTTTCAGTAAATTGGCATTATACTATGTTAACATAATGGAGATAACAGGCTTGAAGAGATACAGTAATCCTTTCCCAAGGTTTAAGTCAGTAATAATAATAACAACAACAATAACTCAGCCATTTTCAGCTTATGTTCCTGAAGGTACCCTGGTGTTGTCTTCAGAGAATGTAGATCCTGGGTCAGAAACAACTGGCTGCCCTGCCACCCAACCACCTGTGCTGTGCTCCTGGGCTGTCAATCAGATCCCCTCAGGAAACATTGAGGGTTTTCTCATCGCTGTCTCTCTAGGACTCACAGAGCTGCCCGGCACGCACCAGGAGCCCAGTAGGTCTGTGATGGCTGGAGGGATGGTGAACCAATGAATGACACCCACCTTGACTAGTGGATATCAGTATGGTATGAGAGTCTACCAGCCTTCACATGCAGACACTCAACAAAATGTACCATGATTATAAGGTGGAGTGCAACGTTCATTTCATCAGTATCACTGGTAATTGCACATTTCAGAAGGTAGACAGGAAGGCAGACACCCACATACTCTTCCCTATTAACAAGGCAGAGGCGGTTTGTCCAAATCTACTAAGCAGAGTGGTAAGGTGCTAGTACTGAGGCCTCACACTGACCAGCCCCGTGTTCTTCTATTCTGTGGAAGATGCACGCTCCAAAGTACTTTATTTTCACTTCTCACTTATGTCTAAAGTTTCTGGAGAAAAGATCAACATATCCTTTACGAGGTCATACAAAGAATCGGGGCATTTAATTCTTCTTCCTTATTCTTACAAAGCAGCGTTACTGGTTACAAGAAATAAGTGGTCCTCTTGTTTTCCTTTCACAGTTAAACACAGTGGATTGGAGCAATGCTTCCTGCTTCTCAGATGACATTAGTATGGGAATAGAGAGCAGAGAACACACCTGTCTGTGGCTCTGTGTGGCTGGGGAAGAGAGAAGGGAGTATGGGAGGAGCTAGAAGCCTTTCTTCACTTACCCTAGGCAGGCTGCCCCTCCCAAGTTCAATGAGGCTTCTCTATATAGGATAATCCTACTTGATGTAGGAAGGTCATCTGTCTATTTGTTACTTCCATTGGTTAATAAAGAAACTGCCTTGGCTTTTTGATAGGGCAGGATTTAGATAGGTGGAGTAGACAGAACAGAATGCTGGGAGGAAGAGGGAAGTGAGGCAATCGCCATGCTTCTCCTCTCTGGGTCAGATGCCATGGAGGCAGCCACCAGGTCAGACATGCTGAATCTTTCCCTGTAAACCACCACCTCATGGTGCTACACAGATTATTAGAAATGGGTTAGTAAAGATGTAAGAATTAGCCAGTAAGAGGCTAGAGCTAATGGGCCAAGCAGTGTTTAAAAAGAATACAATTTGTGTGTTGTTATTTTGGGTGTAAAGCTAACCATGCAGGAGCCGGGCGGGAAGAAAATCAGGCCTGCCCACAGCTCCCTCTACACCTACTTCTCACCCTTGACCTCCTCATCTGTCACTCCAGACTTAACATCAGGGCCATGAATGACGCCAATGTGCAGTCATGTTTAATAAATAAAAATGGTGCCTCAGCCTGGCACTTGTGAAAAGATGTTTTTAATTAAGAAACAATAACTTGTTTTGGGATGTCAAGTGTAGCATATGCTAAGGGAAGAATTGTTAATTTAAAAAATGTCTCTTCAAATCAGTTGCCAAATAAACAGACGCTTCATCAAGCCTGTTATTGTTTTGACTTTGCTGTTTCTACAGAACCACAAAGAGGCTAAAATCAGAAGAGTCTCTCCCAGATGTGCACCCCAAACTTTAAAGTCACAAAACTGCGAATGCCTTCCAAGCCCTGCTTCTCTGGCCCCCACAGCATCCCATATCCACAGAGCTGACTCTTCCATCCCTTGCTTTCCAAGGCTGCTTGGTTGACTCTTCAGTTGGCTGTTGGGACTAGGGTCCCACGCAGCCCCTAGCATCAACATTTCATACTGGATAGAGATCTGGAGGGAACCACATACTTTGCGTATTTTATGCAATGCAGCCCTTTGGAATATTGAGAGGTGGAATGTTAGGCTATTAGAACCTGGGTCAACTTTTGCCTTACTCAGCCTACACGGCACCCAGTGCACAGAAGCTACTTAAGACTTAAGACAATCTGTCCGTGAATAACTAAAGTGTATCTTTGGGGCACATGCCCTCCACTACACTCATTATTAATAGAATTTTTTGTTTCATGAGTATTATTAAACACATCTAATATGAGCGGTGTTATGATAGGCAGCAGGAATTGGGAAACGAACAGGCTTTCCTGAGTGTAAGGCTATGGATTGTGTGTTATACAGAATTATAATTAAAGCTATTTACATATACAGAAAAGAATATTGTGAGGACAAGGGTATATAGAGATGTGTACGCTTGGGTGTGGGTATGTGTAGGAACAAGTCTATGGGAATGAAAGCATGAACTGATATTTAGGGAAGCAGTATTTAAGAATGTAGGGGAAGTGGCATAAAGACCTTGGGAGATGAGAGTTATATAAAGAATACATGAGGATGTGGGGAAGGGTAAGTGTGTAGGGTATTGGCCAAGGCTAGGGGTATGCTGGGAGGAGAAGAGATGTGTAGAGATAGGGAAGGGCATGCAGGAATGAGGATGGGGCCTGGGGCACATGGTGGCATGCATTGGGAGAATATAAGTCTGTGTGTATGTGTGTTTGTGTGGCATGTGCTCATCCTCAGACTTCTAAAGATGAGCAAGAGAGAGAAGGATGTTAATAATTTGAGTGAAAAGTCTTGTATTTTTTCCAAGATCTTTCTAGCCCTCATTGGGATAGCAGCCCCAAACCAACTGTCTAACACACCTCACCTGCAGATTTTGCGGAAGAGGGGGCTAGGGGCAAGCAGCACACAGGCAGGGAGGAGCCTACCTCTCACACTGTGCTCCTGTATATCCGGGCTTGCAGGCACACCTCACATTTCCTCCATCCACAGTACAGCCGGTGGCAAAACTTAATGGAAGAAAGGAAAAGGGTGTCAGTGGAAAGAATCCCATTGGTTCATTGTTTTCTTTCATAAAAGACCAGCTTCCATGAAGGGAATATTAAAACCCATTGTGAGGAAGATCTCTAGTGAAGAAAGTTGTGTGGGGAGAAAGTTTTGCTCCTGGAGACTCGACCGACTGTATAATGAATGACTTCCGCTGACACTGGACAGATGGGGTGGGGGCAGACAAGCATTTTCCTTCTGGGTTGGAAAATGCATTCCTTCCCTGGAGACAGACCCAGTCTGGAAGAGATGATTACAACACTGATTCCCCAGGAATAACAAGGAAGGGATGCGAGTCCAGGCAGGAAAGAGAATAGCAAGTCCTGATTCTCTTAACGCCTTGTCTCCTTGTTTATGCCAGCATCTTTTGCACAGAGCCCACACCTGTGAGGCCGGCGGGGCCTTGGGAGCCCCGAGAGGTGCAGAGCTTCCCCGTGGCCTTGCCGATGCTTCACACTGTTCTCTAGTCAGCTCCTGAAATTTCCTTCTCTTCTAGTTCTAAACTGACATATAACTGAGAAATCTTTTTTCTCTTCCAAACAGAGAAGCCTTGAAATAGCCATGTGGACTTGCATAGTGTCCATGCTTGTGGAACGTTACCCTGATGCAATCAGAGGAAGCTGTCTAACAGGAGAGGCTTCCTGAGCCTCCTCAGGGATCATATGAAGTTTCTCAGTGATGTTTCGATCGATGGAGGAAGAGACATCAAACAGCTGTAATGATAAACCCTAAGGTCTGTGTGCATCCCAGCCCCACTGAGTCTGGGAGCTGGCCTTGATGATAGATATATGCTTTAATCCAAAATGAAAATCTCCTGAGCACACTGATAGAAATTTTGCTGTTTTCTTCTCTTGTCAGCCTCTGTCTGTGCTAGTCTGGGCAGGCACGGAGTGATAGATCACTAGACAAATAACGCCGCAGGACAAGGCAAGCCGAAAGGGATCAAACACATAGTTAGGAAAGCAAGGCAGACATTTCAGACTTGGGGATCTCCAGGGAAGCAGCCCTCAGGCACGTAACTTGGGGAAAAGGAAGATGTGGTTAGTCCAGCTGACCTCGGCTGGTATCAGTGACCTTACCTCTGAGCCTGTGTAGCATAGGCACAGTTTCTCGCTTTTCATGCCCATCACTGCTTTACTTAGTTAACCGCTGTGTCACGTTTTCCTTGGAGCCCATGGTGAGCACATCATAAAGAACAAGATTAGAACAATGTGCCATGTCCAAAGGACACGAGAATCAGTGGTGACTGCTCTACCTGTGGTCTCTCAGTCACACCAGGCCTGAATGACAGCTACAATTGGGCTCAAGGGTTCAGACTCCCCAAGGCTTCCATCACAACAAGGAGTAAACCAGATGCTTGGTTATAGTCTTTAAGGTTTAATGTTGTAGAATCTGAGTCCTCGTTGGACCCACAGCTGCACCTCCAGCCCTCTTGGTTCTGGTGGTGCACGCCTTTAAACCCAGAACTTGGGAGGCAGGGACAGACGGGTCTCCATGAGCTCAATGCCAACACCATCTACAGAGCAGCCCTGTCTCGAAAATCCCATCTCGGAAATGACTCCCATGGAGCCCCTGCAGGGAGTGGCATCGTTAGACTCCTATGACCTTAGCTGCAGGTAACACTCTGACCCATGGGTCTTCAGGATGATCCAGACGAATTTTCAAGACTTGAAAGCTACTTCTATTGGAACCACTGACTGTCCTCTTGGGCATGTGCAAGTGTCCTGTGGGTAACATGGCTGATAGCAAGGGACAGAAAATCCAGCCGTCAGATGTGGTCAAAGCTGTCGTTTCCTAAACGAGCACCCTATGAAGTTCAACCACACACATAGATGACGGGCCAATGTTTCCTCATCTCATCTTGCCATGCTGCATGTCCTAAATGCCCGTCTTCCTTACTCCATGAATGGTCCTGAGCCCTGCTCTCGGGGACGTGGTCAGGCTTGTTCCACACCCTGTCCCTGTGCTGCTGTTGCCTCAGAATCAACCCTGTCTTTCTATTTCGTTAGGCTCGCCATTTCAGAGACTGGAAGATCATACATCCAAATAAGGAGGCCCTTGGGTCACTTCCACCCCTCCTGCCTCTGCATAAACATATCTCTTTAGCACCTTCCACACCCACTCTGAGTCCTGGACAACTGCCCGATCACAAACTGATGTCTGTGAGCTTCTGCTGTACCTGTTGGTGTCGGGGTGGGGCACATCCTACAAGGCTGTCCCTTCTGACTGTTGTCCGTGAGTGTCTACTGTGCCTGTTGGTGTCGGGGCGGGGCACACCCTGCAAGGCTGTCCCTTCTGGGACCAACATGTACCTCGGCTTTCTCCACTCATTACTCATGTCCCTGCCAACCAACCATGGCTTCTCGGCCCTTCTGTCTACCACAGCCACTCACCGTCAGTCCCACAGCCCCATGGCTATCTGATATTCTACTTCACATTTCTCTCTGCATGTACTTACTGAGCTGCGATCCTTCCTTTCCCTCACCCACGCCAGTGTAGCCCTGGGACATCAGATTCCACCATCCTTACTGCATGTCAGTTTCCCTAGTACACGCTAAGCCCCATAGTGGGTGCCCAGAAAGTCTGTTAAATCAAGAAGTGAGTAGAGGAAGAAGAAGAAGAAGAAGAAGAGGAAGAGGAAGAGGAAGAGGAAGAGGAAGAGGAAGAAGAAGAAGAAGAAGAAGAAGAAGAAGAAGAAGAAGAAGAAGACGACGACGACAAAAGGGACGTTTCTGCTTGATGATATTTTTCCTTGCATTTGTGTCTGTTCGTTAAAAAAATGGCTCAACCATTCAAGGCTAGCCACATAACCAAAAGGACAAATACATATACCGTACAATTCACCCATAAATAATATCAGTTCAATGGATTAATGCAGTCAAGAAGTTGTACAACCACCACTATGGTCAATTTTGGAACACTGTTATCACAGCCCTTGGCAGTTACTTCTCTTTAAGCTGTGCTCTCCTCATCCACTCTCAGTTCTGTGTGACTGCCGACTGCTGTCACCTGTGATCGGCTACTGTACCTGTTGGTATGAGGGCAGGGACACACCCTACAGGATCCGCGGATGGCGTTTCCATAGTGACCTTCCTTGCAGTGCTCACAGTGATCCCCAGCGGTGTTGTGCTGACAGTTCTGGGGACAGATGAACAGGACAGTCAGCTGTCTGTGGCATGGATCACTTTTAAGGCCACTATGGTCTTCAGTGCTGACGATTCAACCCAGAGATTCCAGTACGCTCAGTGAGCCCGGCACAACGGAACCACACCTCTACCCCAATCGCACCCAAATGTAACTCAGGTCCTCTGGCTGCATGATGATATTGGTTCTGCTGACTATATATTCCTATTTAATTGCCGTTGGTGCTGCATAAAATAGTGGTACTGAGCCGGAATAATAGCTCAGCCTGCGTCAAATTACTTGCCTGGTATGCACAAGGACCTGAGTTTGCTCCCTAGAAGCCATATTTTAAAAGCTGGTTAGGATGGTAGGTGCTTGGAATCCCAGGACTGGAGGATAAGGGTGGATGGGTAGATCTCTGGGGCTTACTAACTAACCTACTTAGCAAGCTCCAGAACAGCAAGAAACCCTGAGTCTAAAACAAACAAACAAAAATGGAGGGTGCTTAGGAAGGACACTAGTGTTTTTCTCCAGCCTTGCACACATACACCCCCCACACACACCATACACCCCCCCACACACACCATACACCCCCCACCACACACACCATACACCCCCACACACACACCATACACCCCCACACACACACCATACACCCCCCCACCACACTACCATCCCCCACAGTACAAGGGTCCCTTCATTAGGCTACAGAAGAGAAAGACTATATGCCACGGCATCATTTCATAGCTGTGGCATCTTTGGAAAGTTCCTTTAGTTCTCTAAGTTTCATTCTTTCCTGTACCAGTTTCATTGACATGACTGCGTATAAGCAGTCTCCCTAAAAGGTGCCGTTGGCAGAGCACCACTCTGCGGTGCTGTTAAGAGCATCTTAGAAAGAAAAGGGCAGGCAGGATGTGGTGGAGCAGGGCTTTAACCGGGCTCTTGGGAGGCAGAGGTAAGCAGATCCCTGGGGGTTCCAGGTCAGGCAGGGACACATAATGAGACGCTCTCTTAATCACACAGGCAAGCAAGCACAAATTAATGTGCTGGGTCCTTGGGAAGTGTGCATCCTCTCTCCTCCCTCTCGTTAGAAAGGGTCGTATCTGGAGGCTAGCCTCGTTCTCTTCATAGCTCACTGTGGTATACTGAAGGGAAATACATTTTAAATAGATTTACTATGTGGAATCTGTGAAAGAGAATAGAAAGTTATATAATTTTAGAAGATGTCCCTTAGAACTCAAGTTCCAGAGAATTAAGAAATTGTGTCTAGCCAGGCAATGATGGAGGTGTCACACACCTTTAATCCCAGCACTTGGGAGGTAAAGGCAGACAAGTTCCAGGATAGGCTTCAAAGCTACAGAGAAACTCTGTCTCAAAAAGCAAGAAAGGAAGGAAGGAAGGAAGGAAGGAAGGAAGGAAGGAAGGAAGGCAAAGAAAGAAATGGGGAGGAAGGGAGGGAGAGAGAGAAGGAGGGTGGAAGAAATTGTGTTTAAGCATTTATTTCCGTAAATGCAATCATCTTCATGTCAAAGTCAGTGTCTAATGGAAGGCACTCCACAACTTTACCACCAAGAGGTCTGAGGGCAGACTGAACAGATTATGGAGAGCATGTCTTTCTGTGGGATTTTTAATCTGCTATAGCCTCTCTCTCTCTCTCTCTCTCTCTCTCTCTCTCTCTCCCTTTCTTTTTAAGACCTTGAGAACCAGGCCTGGTGGTGCATCTTTTTTTATGGTTTATTTAACTTTATTTTATGTGCATTGGTGTGAAGATGTCAGATCTCCTGCAACTGGATCTTCAGACAGTTGTGAGCTGCCATGTGGGTGCTGGGAATTGAACCTGGGTCCTCTGGAAGAACAGTCAGTGCTCTGAACCACAGAGCTGTCTCTCCAGCCCCCTGCTATAGCCTTTCTTGACTTCACCCTTGCCACAAAGCTTCAAACATTCCCACATACACACACGCTGAGGAAAATTCCTTGTGCTACAGACATTTGGTAACCAAAGACACCATGTATTAACGAAATGACCTGGAAAGAGACTGAGCACTGAAAGTTGTGTATATTTTTACCTCTATGCCACCATAGTGCTTGAACAGGGAAAGACAATGGGTGTGAAGATTTAAATAGATTCTGAAGCTAAATTAGGAAAAGTAAAACACAAGAGGATGGGGCTTGTCTCCAACGGAAAAGACTCCTAAGTAGACAAACCCATGCTTTATGAATCTTTAAGGAACTAAAAATGATACAAAACATAGTTAAACAGTGCAGAGGTTTGAATGAGAATGCCCTCATAGGCTCATATGTTTGAGTCCTTGGTTCGCAGTTGGCAGAGCTGTTTGGGAAGGATTAGGAGGTGTGGCCTTGTTGGAGGACGTGTGTCACTGGGGATGGACTTAAGGGTTTTAGTAGCCCATGCCATGTTCAGTTAGCTCTCTACTCATGGTTGTTGCCCCAGAATGTGAGTGGGTAGGGTGGGTGTGGGTGTGTACGCATGTGTAACAGGGTGGGTGTGTACATATGTGTGGTAGGGTGGGTGTGTACACATGTATGGTAGGGTGTGTGAGTGTGTACATGTGTGGTAGGGTGGGTGTGTACACATGTGTGGTAGGGTGGGTGTGTACACATGTGTGGTAGGGTGGGTGTGTACACATGTGTGGTAGGGTGGGTGTGTACATATATGTGGTAGGGTGGGTGTGTACACATGTATGGTAGGGTGGGTGTGTACATATATGTGGTAGGGTGGGTGTGTACATATATGTGGTAGGGTGGGTGTGTACACATGTGTGGTAGGGTGGGTGTGTACATATATGTGGTAGGGTGGGTGTGTACATGTATGTGGTAGGGTGGGTGTGTACATATGTGTGGTAGGGTGGGTGTGTACATATATGTGGTAGGGTGGGTGTGTACACATGTATGGTAGGGTGGGTGTGTACATATATGTGGTAGGGTGGGTGTGTACATATATGTGGTAGGGTGGGTGTGTACACATGTGTGGTAGGGTGGGTGTGTACATATATGTGGTAGGGTGGGTGTGTACATGTATGTGGTAGGGTGGGTGTGTACACATGTGTGGTAGGGTGGGTGTGAATATATGTGTGGTAGGGTGGGTGTGTACACATGTGTGGTAGGGTGGGTGTGTACACATGTGTGGTAGGGTGGGTGTGTACACATGTGTGGTAGGGTGGGTGTGTACACATGTGTGGTAGGGTGGGTGTGTACACATGTGTGGTAGGGTGGGTGTGTACATATGTGTGGTAGGGTGGGTGTGTACACATGTGTGGTAGGGTGGGTGTGTACACATGTGTGGTAGGGTGGGTGTGTACATGTATGTGGTAGGGTGGGTGTGTACATATGTGTGGTAGGGTGGGTGTGTACATGGCAATTTCTTAGGATTTCTCGATTTCTGAGGATTTCCTCTGCCTCGAGGAGCCATAGTGGCCTAGAGACAAGCAAAGACAGAACTACAGCAACAGCAAATGGAATCAAATATTTTTCACAGATAGACTGAAAAATGGAGTATGCCTCCCACAAGTTATCCTTCCATGGAGTGTACAGAATCTAGAGAAAACCCCCTTTGTTCCTTGGTGGCGTTCATAGACAAGCTTGACATCCGGCTTTGGTTCTGTGGTTAGATAAACATTCAGACTTGACGAGAGCATCACCACGTCACACACACCAGGCGGTTTCCAACAGAGACCTTTGTTCAGGAAGACACGTGGGCTGGAAAACAACCCATTGGTGTCTTTTAGTCTTTTTGAACTTATAAGGTTAGAACCCAACAAAGTATTCTGTCGGGCGGCGCCTTTGGCACTCTCCTGTTCTGGCCTGCCCCAGCTTGCAGAGGAAGGAGATCCCCAGGACACACAGAGCAGGCTCAGTGTAGACCAGGACTCCACAGATGCTAGTCACATCACACAAAGCAAGCCCATGGCAGCAGAGTGAATTTCTAAAGGCCCTTATCTTAACTGGGGGAGGCCCTGGCTATGAAATCTGATGGAACAGAACAATGAAATACAGCCAAAAACAAATAAATGAAAATGTTAAAAGGCTCTTTGGGGACAAAGGTTACTTAAACCTTTTAAAACCTTTTCTTTGTTTTTTTATTTTTATTTATTTTTATTTTGAGATGGGGGTCTCACTGTATCGACTTCTTCACCAGGAAGTTGCTATGGAGACCAGGCCAGCCTTTAACTCAGAACTTGATCTGCCCCTGCTCCCCAAGTGCTAAAATTAAAGGTCCGGAAACAAGCTAATTTTATTGAAGAGAATCTGAACCATATTCCATAGTAAGACCCTGTTCTAACATGTAAATTATAGTCAACAAGAACTGTCAAAAAAGAAAAATAGGAAAACAACAAAAGGAACTGGGGCCTCTGTGAGGAAGGAGAGGTGAGGCCCCACTCCACCACCGTGCTTTGGTCCCTTCTTCCGCCTCTCCTGGGATCCCACTTTATCTCGGCAGCCATGAGGTGTCTGAGTGCGAATGAGTAGGAGTTGTGGCATTTCATTTGTATTTTAATAAATAAAATTTGCCTGAAGATCAGAGAGGAAAACAGTCCCACTGGTCAACCTTACAGACCAGTGATAACACACACCTTTAATCCCAGTAGATACAGAATCTGGGCGGTGCACACCTTTAATCCCTAGAGAGGATTATAAAATGGGAGGAGACAGCTCCCAGTAAGCCTTATTCGGAGATTCCTGAAGGCAAGATTTTGGACTGAGGTCGAGGCAAGAGCCAGTGACTATTTTCCTTTTCTTCAGGTTGAACCCCATTTTCTCTCTCTGAGTTTTTATTAATCACGCTTCAACTAGGCGTGAGCCATATGCCATTCTTAGCATCCCCTTTACTCCTTTTTCTTTCTTTACCCTCTTTTTTCCCCTCCATCACTGATACCTTATCTCTCTCCCTTCCCATTTTTTTTTCAGGGAAGGTCTCCTGTGTCTCAGGATGCCCTCAGTCTGGTGGTCTGGATTAGAATGGCCCCACAGGCCCATGTATTTGCATGTTTGGTCATCAGGAGTGGCACTGTTGAGAAGGATTAGGAGGTGTGGCCTTGGAGGAGGACACATGTGGCTGTGAGCAGGTTTTGAGGTTTCAGAAGCCCGCACCAGGCCCACTGTTGCTCTCTGCCTGCCTATGGATCAGGATGAAGAACTGTCAGGCACTGCTCCAGCACCTGCCTGCACACCGCCACGCTCCCCACCACGATGATAACGGACTAAGCCTCTGAAACTGCAAGTGAGCCCCAATGAAATGTTTTCTCTTAAGAGTTGCCATGGTCACAGCACTGGGACTGTGACTAAGACAAGTTTGGATCTTCCTGCCTCCAACACCAGAGTCTGCCATCACAGTCTGGTTTATAGTGCTGGGGTCACACAGGTGAGGGCTCTGCCCACCCATCCTGTCCTCAGCACCCTGTAACAGACTCGCTGCTACTCTGACAGCCACAGTGGCCCTGTTGAAACCCGTCTCACCCCCACAAAACTGAGCCCAAAGTAACACCTCAGACTTAGTATATATATCCAGGCAAGCTTCAAGCTCCATCTACGACCCACCTATTAATATCACTTAATGAGGCAGAGGTAATAGGAATCCCATAACTGTAGGCAGGTGCTGTCTTCTGAGGGTGTCTGTTACAATGGAGGTAGAAGGGAAGTATAAGCCCCTAATCCAGCCTAGTGGGTCAGAAGCCTCCTCCACGCCATAGCAATCTGCTTAGGTTTATGAGAGACTGAACCTTGACATCTTGGGGGAAAGGGGAGGAAGACTGCCTGCCGCCCCACAAGCTACTCATCTACTCACAATGCACTTCCCCGAGCCGTCCTGGCAGCGATTTGAATGTCCATTGCAATTGCAGGGGACACATCTTCCCGCGGGCGAGCTTTTGTTGTCCCGATAGTATCCAGGACGGCAACCCTATTTTTCAAACAAAAATGTTTCATCAATGCAAAGAAAAGAGAAGAATTATTTCCTAAAGTTCGTCACAATTCCAACTGTGGAGAAGTCGGGGTTTCCAAACCTCTCCCCAGGTGCTGTGTAGATTTCTGATATCAATCACCAGCCAGCTGGTTTGCTTTTCGGTAAGATTGTGCTGTGTCTTTGTGATGGTGGCAATGGGAGCTAACAGAGAAAGGAGAAGTGGGCCATGGGCCCCTCTCACACACCAGTTGTTTTGAAGGGGTTGCGCATGTGAAAGTCTGGGAGTAAAGAGGAGTAAGTCTCCAGTCTCTTCTGGGGTTAAGCCAGACAACCCAAGTCCAGCAAATATCTCACCCCTCCCCATGTACAGGTTCAGATTCGTGGGAGGGGGTGGAAGGGACATAAAGATTCTTCAGTGAAGTCCATTTAATAGTGGTACAATTACTGAAATCATTTCAGCAACACTCACTCCCCAGCGGTCCGCAGGGAGCCTGGGTAGAAGGCAGGTGTTGAGTTCTCACATTTAAGACTGTTCACAAGAATTTGGTCCACTGTGAATACAGAGACCCAGCCCAAGAGTGTCTCTGAGTTTGGTCTTGTTTATACATATTTGGGTTTTGAGACAGGATTTCTTTGTGTAGCCCTGGCTGTCCTGGAACTCACTCTGTAGACCAGGCTGGCCTTGAACTCACAGATCCACCTGCTTCGGCCCCTACCTCTGCGTGCTGGGATTAAAGGTGTGTGTCACCACTACCCGTTAAGAGTTAATATTTTTTTTCCATGGATTTACATCTTGTTTAAAAGATTCTGTTAAGAACTTTCCAGCAGACCTTTAATCTTAGCACTTGGAAGACAGAAGCAGGAGGATCTTTATGAGTTCCAGGCAAACCAGTGCTACAGAGTAAAACCCTATCTCAAAAAAAAATAAAAAATAAAAATCTAACAGATGACTATAAACAGTGGTTTGATGCTTCCACACTCTCTAGAATCATGTGGAGTTCTGCCTGCCTTTAAAAAGGATTATAGGCAAATATCGTGGCAGAGCCAATCCACGCACAGCCCAACCCTGGACATTTCTCCTTGTTTGTAGTTCTGGTCCCCCAGACCCTCATCTTTAAAGGACCAGGAAGAATTAATATCCCAACCCCACTGGTGGATGGCAGCAAACAGCATATACATCCATAAGACTCAGAAATGGCAGTCAAGGCAAAGCTGAAAATAAACAGGCCGGTCTCACTGCCCGTGTCCACAGAGGGAAGAAGTTTGGGATCTGTGCTGCCCAGGGCGGGGGCCTCTCGGCTCCTGCCAGAATCTCCTTCCCAAATGACTGAGGGCCAACAGATCATAAAACTGCACAACACAATTTCCAATATAACACTCCTTTATGTGATTAGGAATCATGTTTAGGCAGAGAGATATATTGCAATTTTTTTTTTTTTTTTACTTCAAGGCTCTATATGAACAGGCTTGTTTAAAGGAGAATCAAAGTATGAGAGGAATGTTCTGGGCTGATGGCTCAGCTGAGAGACATGCCTGAATGAAATTTTGTTGGGGACCGTGTGACCATATCTACAGCAAATCAACTGAAGTGTTAACTGGCGGCTGCCTTACATACATCATGTCACTTGTAAAAAACAAATTATTCAAATGAACAAATAGGTCTCGTGAGTTGAAGTCACCATATTTGGACAAAAGCTTTAATTATACCTGCTTTGGCAAAGAACAGCCTATCATGATCAAAAGCAAAATGAGCCACCTTAATGTGCTTTTAATTACAAGCAGGAAAAATGCTCTGGCCAAGTGCCAGGTCATGTGACTCGGAGAACTTGTGACTCAACTGTAACCATTTCATGCCTCCACAAAGCGAGCAACGGCATTTCACAGAAGCACACAAATCCTATGAAAGACGGGAATATGTCTGTGTCCTGAACTGCAACAAAGACACTTAGACGTGACAAAGCCTTGCTTTTAAGGATGAAATCTCCAGTGACGTTTTATATTATAGGTGATATAATGCCCCATCCACTTCCTGGGCCAATTTCATGAGCCACAGGCTCTATTTCTCTGTAAGTATACACGCAGGGCATGTAAGGCGTGAGCAGAATTCATGAATGCTTCGTGCCTGGCAAATCACAGCATGTCCGCGAGGTACTGTACAAACTGATCGCTTTTCTCAGCGTTGGCTCTTTTTGTTCCTCAAGTTTTACTTTGTGGGTAAATTTTCTTCAAGTGAAACTTGCAAGCCTCCAGCAATAGACCCTCGTTCCAGGCTTGAGCTAGCTCCTACAGGGAGCTAATTAATAGCAACACCAATATTCCACAGCATCCAAGCTCTCGGCTGTCCAGGCATTGCATGGTGGGCTGATGTTTATGGAGCTTGTGGTTAATAGCTCAGGAGAGCAATCAGTACAGCCCGGCAATAAACCCTGCCACTCACCACAACTGGGAGGCTGCCTGCCCTCCCATCTACTCCGTAACACCCTATCATAAAATGTCACCAAACTGGACACACTTTTCCCATCCCGACCCGAAATTTAAAGGGGCATTACCTGGCTGGGTCTGAGCTCCGTATAACTTGCTTGCAGATGGTTTTGACCTGGACGCTGAAGAAAGGCTACCCTTTGCTGCTCTGAACCATATCCCAGGCACAGGTCTAGAGCCGCCCCGAAGATCCACAGCCATGCTGTGCTCCAGGCTGACCACCTCACTGCAGGGGACATCCTGACCCCTGGGTGTCCTGCCTGGCTGCGCACAAAACTCTCTACTCCTCCTCTTATACTGCCCTTCCTGCTCAGTGCCCGGGCCTGTCTGACTCAGGGAAAGAAGGCTGTCTGCGGCAGGGGCCCCACCTTTCAACTTCACACATGACTCAGCCTACACAGAGAGAAAAACACATAACCGTTCCACAGGTAAGTACAGCCCTTGGTAATTCCTGTGAGACGGGGCAGACGTCACCTTCTACCCACCTGGCCCTGCAGACAGCCCGGCTGAGTTGCTGCAAAGCCACACCCTGACCACAGGGTGCTAACCTGCAGCTCCTCTTTGCCTCGGGCTATCTAGTTTATATTTTAAACCACTTAAAAAAGAGATGGAAGGCATTGGGCTGACTGGAGGCAACCTGTGAGCCGACTCACAAGAAAAGGAGTCTCCAGGATGCTGTGTAAGGGAGATAGTTTCTGCTTTAAGCAGGGAAGTGAAGACATTTGCTAGTTCATGTACACAGAACAGCATCGCTGTCTCCCACTAATTTTGCCAATACTGATTCTTGTTAGGAAAAGAACACATTGACGTATGGGTTGAGAGAGAAACAGTTTCATTTTGTAGTGCTTCCTAAAAAAATGAGGGTAACTTTAAACAACTCGGACCTGCTAAGAGGTAGAAAACGGGAGTGAGATTTTCCCTTTTGCATCCAGGGAATCCTTGGGATTTTCCTGCACTAGGGTGACAGTGAGACAGAAGGAGGCTCTGGCCCAGCTTACAGGAAAGGACAGACAAACACTGAGCCTTCCTACCTCTGATTTCTACATCCATGGAGCGCCCATGGTCTCCTTTGAATGCCAAGACAAGGTGCTGTCTTTGACACGTTTTGACTCCATAAAGATCGCCTAGGGGAAGATACACTTGGATGATGGGTAGAGAGAGCCCCAGCTGTGCCTGCTGCATTGCTGGACAGCAGCCAGAAAAAGCCAGACATAGATGGGCCCAGGAAATGAGGAATACCACAGCTGGGAAACTTTCCTACCTGACATGAGTCACCTGTGTAGTCAGAGGGACAGGCACACAGCTCCACAAGATGCGCTCTGGGTCCACTTCCTGTGTCGGAGGCCTCCTCCAGCCCCACCTCACCCAGAGTGAGCCTCTGTGTCTCAGTGAAGTGGAGGCCCCGGATGTATAGTCCTTCCAGGTGGGACAGCACCGTCATCAGCTCTTCCCGGGACACCGGGGCACCATTGCCAGCGTGTCTGAAGTTCCCCTGCACACAGCAAATGGAGAGGCTTCCTTAGGTAAGGTCACTTTCAGAGAGACAGGCCCTGGAATGGGTCAAATCGAAGCCATTCAGACTGTGTAAAGAAAAAAGAGCCAAAGAAAGAAAGATGAGCAGTCACACCAGGCTACTGCAGGGAAGAGGGTCTCCAAGACCAGTGCCACGCCTTTGTGAATGTGCTTTAATCTGGGAAAAAAATAAAGTCAGTGACAAAGATGCAGAAGGAAAAGAAGCCCCAGCAGGTAATATTAGCTCAACGTGCACACCTAGGACAGCAAACAATCTTTTCTTGCACACATTTTGTTTTATTAATTTGCTGCTTTGTTTGTGTGCTTGGGGATTTTGTTGTTGTTTTGTTTTCTTTGAGACAGAGTCCAGTTAAGTAGCCTTGGCTGGCCTGGCACTCAGGATCCTTCTACCTTACTTTCCCAAGTGCCAAGATGATCAGTGTGAGAAACTTCATGACTCTTCATATCATCATTGCCTGTCCTGGTACTCATTCTGTAGACTAGGCTGGCCTCAAACTCACAGAGATTCATCTGTCTCTGTCTCCTGAGTGCTGGGATTAAAGGTGTGCACCACCATCGACCAGCTTATAATTTTACTGTTTTAAAAAAATCCGACACGAAATGTGATGTGGGAGTGTCATATATCAATCTGTTGATTTCATTGGTTAAAAAATAAAGAAACTGCTTGGCCCTGATAGGTTAGAAAATAGGTGGGTGGAGTAAACAGAACAGAATGCTCGGAGGAAGAGGAAGTGAGCTCAGACGCCATGCTCCCTTCTCCAGGGCAGACGCGATTCAGCCAGCCACCAGGTCAGACATGCTGAATCTTTCATGGTAAATGCACCTCGTGGTGCTACATAGATTAATAGAAATGGGTTAAGAGGCTGAAACTAATGGGCCAGGCAGTGTTTAAAAGAATACAATGTGTGTGTTGTTATTACGGGGTATAAGCTAGCCAGGCGGCCAGGAGCCGGGCTGTGGGAAGAGGCCCGCAGCTCCCTCAACAGAAATGTACCATCATATCCATTTCATTTACAGATTCTGTAGCGCAGTGGTCTGGGCTATGAGCACAACACTGCACAAGGCTGGAAAACTTGCTCATGGTTGGAAACAGAAACTCCAGGCAGACCCCTCTAGTCATGAAAAAACACACCCTACTTTCAAAGAGCTGGATTATTTTAGGAACCTCATATCAGTGAACTCACACCCTGTGTGTTTTTTGTGACTGGATACTTCTTATCAAGGAGTTATTTAGCAATGAATTTTCTGCTCATAGCTCAGATCACTGTACTAACTTTTTTGCACGTAATTTACCCTGTGTTTCTTTGCTTTGTAATTTTTCCATATGGTGTATATGTATGAGTGTATATATGTCAGATCACATGTGGAGCTCTGGGGACAGCTTGCAGGCGCCAGTCCTCTCCACCGTGTTGATTCCTGGTATCGAACTCGGGTCTTCAGGCTTGCTAGCAGATGTCTTCTCAGCATTAGTGTTACTGAGGGTCACTTGCATGTTCTCTGCATTTGTCTTTCTGTATGCAAATCACAGTGCACTTGTGTGGTCCTCTTTCATCTATCCTATTTAGAGCTTGGGGATCTCTTGATATCTTAGTGACTCTCATCATGTTTGGGAGGTAATTGCTCTTTCAAATATTTGACTTTCTCTTTCTCATATTTCCATTGTATACATTGGTACACTTGAGCTCCTCCAAGCTTACATCTGCCTATAAAACCACGAAAACATCATAACCTTATGGTACATTATATTCTAGGTTATGCAGTGGGGGTTTTGAGCGTTGGTAATAACAAAAAGCCATATAGTAACAGGTTTATGCTATGTAGTTTGTCATGGTCCTGAAGTTCCAAGTCCACATCAAGGTGCTGGCTGCATGAGCTCCTGGCAAGGCTCTCTTCCTGATTTGCAGATGACCATCATCATTGCATCTGTACAGGATGCAAGAAGGCAGCGCTCTGATGTGCTTTGTGTGCTGGTTTATTTGAAGTATTTATGTGTGGCAATCTGCATGTGCATGTATATGCAGGAACATGTCTCTGGAGCAGAGGAGGGCACTGCATGTGCATGTATATGTAGGAACATGTCTCTGGAGAGCAGAGGAGGGCGCTGCATGTGCATGTATATGCAGGAACGTGTCTCTGGAGCAGAGGAGGGCACTGCATGTGCATGTATACGCAGGAACATGTCTCTGGAGCAGAGGAGGGCACTGAACACCTTACAGCAGGAGTTTCAGGAGGCTGTGAGCCACCCAGTCTTAGTGCTGGGAGCCAAACTCAGAGCCTCTGCAAAAGCAGCAATGCTCTAAATCATTGAACTTCTCTATCACTCCAGCACTAGAGAACAGGCGCTCTCTGTTGTTCTGGCCATGAGAGACGGCTTAGTGGGTGAGAAATGGAGATGGGAAGATTCCTCAGGCTTGCTGGCCAGCTGACCCCGCAAGTTTCAAGCCAAAGATAAAGCTTGTCTTAGACAAAGGGGAAACAGCAGCTCAGGAACTATAGCTAAGATTGTCCTCTGGTGGCCCCCCACGTGCGTGTGCATGTACACACACACACACACACACACACACACACACACACACACACACCGGATAGGGGAAATATTTATAAAAGAGATATAAACAAAAATATGTATGCATCAAACACTCAATGGTGTATTATATTCTAGATTATGTGGTGGGGTTTTCTCACTGTGTGTGTGTGTGTGTGTGTGTGTGTGTGTGTGTGCATTTGCATGTGTGATGGTGTTTATATATAAGCCAGAGGACAAATTTTGGGAATCAGTTCTCTCCTTCTACCACCTAAGTCCTAGGGATCAAACTCAGGTCAGGTTGGCATCAAGCATCCTTACCCATTTGTTTTGTTTGTTTGCTTGTTTTTTAAAACCATACCACCCCACCCTCTGTGTGTGTGTGTGTGTGTGTATGATTTTTCTCTCTCATTATATTTATGTCTCTGTATAAATGCAATCTGTATTCTTACAATATTCTTAAGTGAAAATCTTGACTTAACTAAAACACAGAACAAAAAGATCATCAAAGACCCTTTTCTGGTATTTTACCTCAACCATCTGTACCCTTCCATGATGCAGCCTGTCTGGCCTTGGGTCACTGGATTCCGTGTGGATGATGGACATGTGCTGACCCTGTTTAAAGGAAGCAGGCATGCATTAGTGCCTTAGTTGGGATATATGGATGTTAGAACAGATTTCTGTGTTTATCTACATTATATGAAACACCTGGCCCTAAACAGTTCAGAACTGGCTGGGTTAGTCACCTGCACACAAGTGAATAGTGGCTATTTTGTTATGTTTTCACACATATGAAAACTACCTTGACCAAAAGGGATTTTAAAATATGAAGAAAGAATAAGAGCTGGAGAGATAGGTCGGTGGTTAGGATCACTGGCTGTTCTTCCAGAGGACCCGAGTTCAATTCCCAGTATCCTCTTAGAGGTTCACAACATCTATTATCCGGTCCCAGAGGATCTGCTGCACAGATCCTGTGCATAGACAAACATGCAGACGAAACACTCACACACATTAAATGAAATGCTTTTAAAAATGGAGAAGAGTATTCATTTTAACCATCCTTTGTAATTAATGTGGGAAGTGCATTTCATTGCTCCCAACATGATGTGCTTTGGTGGCAGCTTCCTGGAGAGCGCAGTGGTGGAGGAAGGGTTAACAGAGCCTGGCTTTGCAGCTACTATGCTCAGCACACTGAAGAAGAGGAGTTTATAGATGAAGGCATGGGCCCAGGGCTCCAGCCCGGCCTGTGGGTCTGGCCACCTTCTCTCAGGTGTTCTTAGGACTGCACGGGCATGTCCGTGCCCTGCATTAACAGCTCCACCCAAGTCACACATCACAGCCCAGCTGTTCTGTGTCAGCTCCAAACCTGGAGGCAGCCCATTCGTGAGAGCAGAACATTATCTAGGATCGCAGATCACTTCAAACCTTAATCTAAGGAACATGCCCCAAAGGCTCTTAATTACAGAGGTTTAAAATACAACAACAAAGAAAAATTCCTGTGAGCCTAAATGATTTCCGTGTCTGAAGTTAAAATCAAGGGAGGATTTTGATCATTACCTCCCAGAGCATTCCAAGAGTGTGCAGTTAAGTCCTCTGCAGTAGAGATTGCATGCAGCAGTAGCTGCAGCTAGGAGCTGTGCTTCAGAAAGCAAAGCTGAAACCCTGCGGTGCTGCGGGGATGGGACTTTTATTACATAGCAGCTTTCCTTATGCAACTCTCAAGTCTTTGTTGCCCATTTACACTACGCTCTGCTAAAGTTCCTTTGAGTTTTTACCACAATTCAATACATTTGTTTACTGGTCAAAGAAAAGATGGCTGAGCAGGGCTTGCACACAAAGATCTACAAAGCACACGGGGCCTTTGCCATGAAGATGTGTGTGAGGTTTGCTGGCCCATTTACAGTGCAGGGTGCAAAGAAACCTTCCTGGAAGTTGGAGTTGCCAGCACCCATAGCATCTAAGGCAGAAATGGAGGTGGGGATGGAGCTCATAGCAGGTGCGAGTTCCTGGGTTACATCTCCAGCAGCCCGCTTCCAAGGTAAGCAAAGGCAGATTTAGCTTTGGGCTAGGGCTCCTGAACCCATATCCAAGGATTTGTCCTGTATTCTAGGGGTGTCATGAAGAATGAATTCAAAATCATTTTTGAGACTAACTTGAAAGATAAAACCATAATAAAACATGAGCCAGTTTCAAAGATGAAATATAGCTCCATTGGGAGGGAAGAGGGGAAGCCCTTTGGGCAGAAGTGCTATGTTCTCTAAACTTCATGTCAGTGTCTTCAAATCACAATTCAGCCTAACATTCTGCACAACCCTGATTATGGGCACAGCCCTGGTTATGGACACGGCTTCTCACTGCTCGGCCCACACCCTAATACCTACAGTAAGCTGTACATCCGGCCGCTTTTCCAAAGGAATCATGTCACCAGGTAAGCCAAAGGACTTGGCTTGGTAGGTGAGGTAGCCGCCATATGAGGAAACCTGAAATTGAAAGAACAGTATCAATAGCACTGAAAATGACCAGGCTGATGCTAACCCACTTGTCTGGAAAGACGGACATCTGCAAAGACACTCTGGGAAGGATGGGACTAATGCTGCCTTCATCGCCTGCTTATGTCATTTTCAGCATCCTGAAAACCATTAACACAAATGTGTTTTATAAGTGGGGATGTATTTTTATTAAAAAGAAAAAGTAACAACCATATTATAACAAACAAGATATTTTCCCTTCCATGATGGCTAAACAAAAATTTGCTTAATCCAAAGAGATTCCAAGAAATCTATTAGTAACCAGAAGAAATTGGTTTATCAGTTGCAAAATAAACCTCTAAAAATAAATTTTAAAAACATCCCTTGAAAGCAGATGCTGACTATTCCCTATGTTGTTATAAATTTTGCTGGAGAGAGAAGCCATGATCACCTGCTACCTCAGAGACACAGACCGGACCAGCACAGTGTGACGTTGGTGGCAATGTGGCAGTGAATGGTCATAGTTTTCTGTTAACTGGGTCTCCTCTGCTCCTGGTCTACCCCCTTTGAAATCAGCTAGGAATGAGGGACTGAGGAGAGTCTGTCAGCAGCAGCATCTCAGCTGAGAACAAAACGCTGCTCCAGGGAAGAGCAGGAGAGCATCTCTGGGGCCCTAGTCATGGAGGCTTCTGCTAGGACCTGCCCCCTGATAAAGCTTCCCAGAGCTGTGTTCTCAGGGCCTGGAAGCATTTCCATGAGACACATAGGCTCATCTAATTGATTTTAATCACCGTCTTTTTGATAGACCAAGGGTGGCTTTTAAAATATGAACATAAATTCTGAAAGTCTTCTCTAGAGTTGTGGTGGCTTGAAATAGGAATGCTCATCATGGGCTCAGGTATTTTGATAATTGTTTCTCTACTGTGGTGCTGTTGGGGGGTTGTGGAAATTTTAGGAGGTGTAGCTTCGCTGCAGAAAACACATCGCTAGGATGGCTTTGGAAGCACATCCCTTCCCTACCTACAGCCCTCTCTCTATTTCTCTGTGTGGTTGGAGACACGATCTCTCAACTTCCCGCTGTCATGCCTCTGCCAAAACAAATCCTTTCTTCTAGAAGTTGCTTTTGGTCATGGTTTTATTACAATAACAGAAAGGAAGATCACACAGGAGAGTTTCATTGTCCTTGCCTTGAGTGTGGGCTCAATTCAGTGACTCATTTCTAATCAGTTAATGAGCAGAATAAAGCAGAAAGGAGATTTCATCTTTTCCAAAGTTGAGTTTTAAGATTTTATGACTTCTGTCTTGAGTTCTTTCATTAATTATTGCTATCATTCTTCTTCCTCTGTTTGTAGAAACCAGCCATCATGCCATGAGGGCCCGTGAACAGTCCAGGACGATCTCATGCCATGAGGCTCTGTGAGCAGTCCAGGACGATCTCACGTGATGAGTATCTGAAGCTTCCAGCCAGATTTAGCAAGGCACAGAAACCTTCTAGCTCCATGGTAGTGGCCTTAGCAATTGACTCTTCTAGTTCCAAGATGACTAAGCCTGGCTAATATCTGACCACAACCCCAGAGGAAACTCTGGGCAATTGTCTCCTGGATCCCCAGTCCACAGAAACTGCAGTCACTTGTCCCCTTAAGCGGCTGTGCAGTACAGATGGCCAACACATGCGAGGAGCGGAGGCTAGTGGCTGATGGGTCAGCTGGAAGAGCGATTCTGGGCACATGAAAGTGTCAAAGTTCATAGTTCTTCATCCAGAGTTAGAGATCTGGAGCCAACAGTTAACGACCCCTGAGCTAACTCACAGACATTGAGTTCATTCCTCAATGACTGATAATTTCATCAATTTTGCCTACATAATAGAATCTCTGTAAACACCTTGTTGTTTATTTAAGCCACACGAGATATGAAATTATGACATCCTGTGAGCTGTGAAATCCTCCCTTTCTACCATCTCCTCTTATGACAGACTTGCAGACTATACCACCTGATCGTGTTTCTACACAGGGACTGGACTGGACTCATCGTGGCCGGGCTCTTTCACACAGTGTATGCTTCTCACTGATACGATCCTGGAGGAGCATCATTAAATACACGTGGTCCTGCTTGTGAGAGTCTAACTGCCATGGGGCCTCTGCTTCTTTTAATAACTCTGTGAGTCACTTCTCATTCTCCTGACAAGGAGCCTTTCTGCTGTAAAACAAAGGCTCCTCCGCAGAGCATCTAAAGGCACCTGGCTCATTTGCAACAGCTATTATTTAAATGGTTTTATATTCCCCCAGAGGATAGCTCCTTGGCAGGAAGCACGAATCGAGAAAACCATCATACACGACTTCCTTTTCTGGGAACTTGTGTAAGCGGGACACACACGTGAGGTACCTTTGCCACCCGCTGTGTGGCAGGAGGCAGGGTATCTCCGTCGACATTGCCTAACTTGTAAACGTTAACTACCCGACCTCCCAGATCTCCAGGACATGATGATTATGCAGGGACAGCGGAGACCCCAGAGGGCTCAGAAGGACATCAGACCATGTTACCTTGTCACCTAGGTAGGAGGGAGGTGATGCCCAGGATGCACTGTGGACTGATGATGGCAGCTCCTGCAGATCTGCAACCATGCTGTTGCTGCCGGGGTTGAAGGACACAGGGACATCAACTCCATCTGCTGTCTCGAGACGCCAGCCCATCATGTCTACAAGCTAGAGCACAGTAATCGTGGCTTTTAGAGTGGTGGCTGGATCATCATCACTGAAAGACTCACACAATGACCACCTAGCTGCAAAACTTTCCTTTGTGTATCTTTTTAAAATGCTATCTATTAAACTCGTGTAGTGTGGAGTTTATCAGTGAGTCATACCCCAGGAACAACCATCTCACCTTGAGTCTGCCCACACTGGGCATGGCAGAGCTGTCACCTAACTCTGCTTCCCTTCTGACGTTCAAATAATCAAAAAGTAAGTGGATGAATAATAACTTGTGGGCATCTTTACAAAGTGAAGTCAAAGGCTGGAGAAAGGGCTCAGTGGTTAAGAGCATTGCGATTCCTGCAGAGGACCCTGGTTTGGCTCCTAGCACCTGGTGACTCACAACAACCAGAACCACCAGTTCTGGGTATTAAATGCTTTTTCTGGCCTCTGAGGGCACCTGCACCCATATGGTATACATCCATACATGCAGGTACATGCACATATACATAGATGATAAATAAATCTTTGAAAGATGAGATCCACATACAGAAGGATATAGGAGGAATTCAGGGGACCCTCCCCATCACAGATGGGCAATTTCTTATGGATAGAGTCATGGAAAGGGGGGAGGGGAAGGGTGGACATCTTCAGTTGTGTAAGCACTGGTGGCTCCGTCGGGCTCCAATGAGGAATTACAATTCAGTGATCACATAGATGATCCTAGCAAACTAAATGGGTAACAAAATAAAACCAAAGGCCACTGACCCTGGAAAGGGACAGGAAGGAAAAAGAAGGGGTTGGTAGGGGCAGGAGGGAGGGTAGAGCAGGAGGGGAGGGAATAACCAGAATACATTCTGTACATGAAGAATTAACTTAGATTTTTAAAAGGTTTTTGACAACATTTTAAAAAACTAATTGTGTTTAGGAATACAGTAGCCCAAGTAAAATATTTCCTTTGCCACTGAGGAAACCAGCTTCATTTAGAGGGGAGGAATAACAAAGAATTGACAAGGAACACTTAGGAGCAAGCTGTGATGGGTAAAAGGGGAGACTACAGAGCAGACTTACAAACTAAGTTTCCTTCCACAAACCAGTCCACCCTCCACTCAGCAAGCAGTAAAATATGTAAAGCAGTATTACACAGAAGCAGTACGCATGATGCTACTGGATCGTGGACTAATGAGGTTGATAAAGTCTTAGTTTTATAAAGTTAATTTCAGAAGTAGACAGAGAGGGAGACAGCTCAGCGGGAAAGTACTTTTCTCACAAGCATGAGAACCTGAGTTTGATCTCCAAGAAGCCACAGAAAAACCTAGGTGGGGCAGCACACACATGCAGTCTCAGTGCTTGGGAAGTGAAGGCAGGGGGATGCCAGTCAGTCTAGCCAAGGCAAGATCCAGGTCCACTTAGGGATTACCTCAGAGGTGGAAGTGGAGAACAATGGAAGAAGACACTTAACATTGACCTCTGGCTTCAACACGCATAGGCACACACCCTTCCATATGGTAAAACATTTGAGAAAGAAATTTTAAAAGGAAGAATATAAAAAAGAGAATGAAGACTGTGTTATTACCACCACAAAAACATTTTGTAGGGCTGGAGGGATAGCAGAGACTAAAATGCATGCCACACACACACACACAAGGTCCAGACTTTGAATCCCCAGAATCTATGTAAAGGCTGGGCCAGCAGCGCAGCTCACCTGCAATCTCAACCCTCAGGAGGCAGACATGACTGTCGCAGAGCAAGCTGGCTGGCTGGAGCATCAGAACTGGCAAGCTCTGGTGTCAGAGAGAGCCCACCTCAGAATGCATGGCGAACCATGACAAGGGAAGCCATCCAACATTAGCATCTGGCCTGCACATAACACATGTCCAAGCACATCCACAGATATACACGAACCCAGGCATGTACAAACACACACCCTCCATGCCTTGAGTCCCCCAGCTAGCCTCAGAGTGGGAACTGGTGACCACAAAGACCAGCAGATGTGTAGAAGGGCAGAACTTTCAGCCCATCCCTAGCCTTCCCATAGGTCAATTACCAGTTACGTTAATAACCAATAGCCATTGACTTAATCAATCATATCTACATAATGGGAGCTCTATGAAGACAATGAAGAGCTTTGGAGAGCTCCTCAGTGCTGGGAGGGCTCAAGGGAGTGGCATATCAGAACTTCACGGAGACGGAAAGTTAGTGTGTTTGTGAACCTTCTGACGCTCACCCTGTAGATTTTTCTATCCAGATGTCTGTCTTGATATCTGTCATATCCTTTACAATACAACAAATTCTATTCATTGACTGAGTATTTTCTAGGCATCTTCTATGTTCCAAATCCTGTCCTAGGCCATGGTATATGTTAAGGAGTTCACATTCCACTTATGGAGAAAGGAAAGACAGTAATTTTTAAAGTTAAAGGTATAATATGTTACAAAGTGTTAAACGCTATGGAGAAGTCAAGGGCAACGATACAGATACTGACCAGGATTATCTATTTCCAGGGGGAGGTGGGAGAAAGCATTCTGAGCATGTGACATCTGATCAAAGACCTGAATAATCTGAGACACACTCACGATGGCATCTACGGAGACAGTGCTGCAGACCAAGGAGCAGCGAAGTTAGGAATACTGACCAAGAACCCAAACACACCTTAGATCTTCGCTTGTGTGAACTTTGACAGTCAGTAGTCACTCCAAAACAGAAGCATGTGGTGCAACCTTTTGGACTGGCAGGGTTTAAGTAGAATGATCCTTTGCGACACACTTGGCATTCTGGGCCTTCCACGTTTTCCTGTTAAAACAAAACATGAAGAGAGAGTCCTGTAAGACACTCTAGTATCAGGAGACACAGAGACAGAACTGTGGGGCTGTAAGACACCCTAGCATCGGGAGACACAGAGACAGAACTGTGGGGCTGTAAGACACTCTAGCAGTGGGAGACACAGAGACAGAACTGTGGGGCTGTAAGACACCCTAGCATTGTGAGACACAGAGACAGAACTGTGAAAAGCGGGGCTGTAAGACACCCTAGCATTGGGAGACACAGAGACAGAACTGTGAACTGCGGGGCTGTAAGACACTCTAGTATCAGGAGACACAAAGACAGAACTGTGAACTGCGGGGCTGTAAGACACCCTAGCATCGGGAGACACAGAGACAGAACTGTGAACTGCGGGGCTGTAAGACACTGTAGCATAGGGAGACACAGAGACAGAACTGTGGGGCTATAAGACACTCTAGCAGTGGGAGACACAGAGACAGAACTGTGGGGCTGTAAGACACTCTAACATCAGGAGACACAGACAGCACTGTGGGATTGATGGCAGGAGAAGGGCAACTGGTCCAACTTCCCCCACCTGCAACATCTGCTAGGATCTGAATCTCACCTGTAAATTTTTGGGACCTGTGGCAGGGAAGATAGCCTTGGGTCCTCATCCAAGAACAAATTGCAAGAAAGATATGAACCTCCTGATGCTATAGAAAACAGTTCATGTTGATTTTTCTAAAGGGATTTGTCCTTATTAACAGATTGTCATAGGGAGAGGGGTGGGGGCTGTAACCTTTCTAAAAGATGAGAAAGATCTTTCCTTCATTATGCCTATGAAGGGAGAGGGTAAGTACAAAATGCTGCATACATTACAGAAATCATCACAGGTCAGTTCCCTGGAAAAACTCCCAAGCATCACAGGACTTGCTTTACCTTGCACACACAAGCCCCAGTCCCTGGGTCACACACGTTGGGCTCAGTTCCATCTCTGTGACAACTGCAGGGGACACACTCAGGAAAGTGGTGGAAGCCAGGAGCACATCTGTCACACCGCTGCCCTGTGATTCTAGGCTTGCACCTGCACAGGAAGAAAGGAAACAAAACTCCCATCACTGCTCTGTGCACGACTCTAAAAGGTCTCCCTGCCTCATGATAGGACAGTTGCTGAAAGACACCAATCACACAGGCACAGGGGCTGAGTGTGGCTGCTGACACCCACAGAAAGCCAGTGAAGATGCCACCATGGGTGACCTGTGACCCCTGGATCAGAGTCCTTGCTAAGGGTTGGAGGTGCAGAGATGTGTACACCACTCCCCCAAAGCCCACAAGTAGAAATGTGAACAGTACACATGGGGTCCACCCTAGAAGAGCTCCCAGTTTCCCCGGGGGAGCTAACACCTGGGCTGATTTGGAATGCTGTAGTGCTGGTGTTTCAGACAGAAGGAACACAGTAAGAACACCACCGAGTATGTTCATGAAGCACATGCCTGGTGTCACTAGAACTGAAGCCCAAGAGGGGATTGTCAAACCTCAGGTCTGTAAAGTTAGATGAGAGTTCAGTTGTCATCCTGAGTCAGGATGGCTTGATGAGGCGCCTAAGGAGGAGAGGAAGTGGCTGGACCGTGTGCAGGGTGGAGTCGAGGAAAGAGTTCCAATCAAACGCTACCAGGTCATGAGCTAGCTTGGGGAAGAGGGTTTAGGGTGGGCATGAGAATGGTTTCTAAAGTGTTTTGGGTGGAGGTTTCTGGGACTTGCATCTTCCATGAGGTGGGAGAAGAAGAAAAGATGAAGAGTTCCAGGTCTCCAGCTGAGTATACGACGAATCCGAGACTCCACGGAAGCCAAGGAGAAAAGGAATCAGTGAGGAGGAGCCTGTGGGCAGGAAGTCGCCAAGGGAAGCAGATGGCAAAAGGAGCCATTTGGGGCAAGTCCAGAAGAGAGGGACCGTGAGAGCCTGAGCCCACAGACACTGATCCGTCAGTCACCAGCAAATGCAGCTGACACATGGGGTGAATGAGAAAAGGTAGACCAGAGGGACAGGACTCTGAAGCTCACCATATAGGGGACAGGAGAAGGGGGACTCACCATGTAGGGGACAGGAGAAGGGGGGACTAACCATATAGGGGACAGAGGAAGGGGTGAGCATGCTGTGTGCTCTGTTCCTTGTCCCATACCTAAGTGAGAGCAGCTGCTTTTTAATCAAACATCTGCTTATAACCATAGAAAGGGGTTTTGTTAATAGTGAGAATGCATTCAAGCAGCTTAAACTCCAGCGCTATGTATGCTGTAGCTCACTGTGCAGGGGGCTGAAAAAACTCATCCCCTTTACAATCAGTTTTCACATATCTGCGGAAATGGATTGTTGCATTGAATAAGACACTGTGTGAAACCCTCAGGATTGCACCTTGCACACTGGCATGTCTCTGTGATGATTCCTGCTTAACCCTGGCCTAGAGGAGCACACGGCCCAGTGGGAAGAGAGGTGCATCTAGAACCACACAGGAGGAATTCATAAACGTTCTGCTAGAAGCAATCACTCTAGTGCAGGGCATCAGAAATTTTGAAAGGGGATCAGAGAAGCTGGATATGGACCACCTCACTCTCCCCTCAACTCCACACAATCCTATATACACATACATACAACCTACACACACACCCCTATACACTCATATCCTACATACACACACCCCCACACACATGTGAGCCTACAGGGGACACTTCACATTCAAACAACAATTTCAGGTACTGCAGGGACATCCACGTTCCTACAACAGGGTCCTATGGAAGAAGAAGGCATGCTGTTGGAAGCACAGCTGCTGCAGTCTCAGTGTGTTGACAAAGGAAAGCATGGATGCCTGTTACAGCCAGGGCAGTCAGACAAGACAGAAGGGAAGCTAAAGTGGTCTCTCTCTCTCTCCCTGTTGCCTCCAGAGCCCTTGTGAACTGATGGCATGGGAGGGGATGGTGGGAAACCACACCCATCACCCTGGACCTAGCTCTGAGCTGAAAAGACACAAGGCAGCAGAGAGCACACGAAGGGAGAAGAAAACACAAATAGGGAGTTGTGGCCCTGGAACTGTTCTCAGCCCAGCCCAGATGGGGATGACAAGTCCGGGTAAGCAGAACCTGAAGAATATAGAATCTATACTCCAGAGGAATTCAGTGTTTGGATCCTGTGTAGCATCAAGTAACCACAGGAATCTGGTGATGTCATGACAACCAGGAAGAAAAAAGAAACACCCACTCCAAGATCTGGCTGATTATCTTCTAAAGCAACCCGAGTCAGCCTGACCTTACACCTGTCTCCCAGGAGACCAGAGACAGGAGAGCTGTGCTGGCTGCTGCCACCTGGAGAAACGGCAGGGCCGCTCTCGGGATGCTGGTCTATGAAGTCATCTCTGAGACACTCGGCGGGGGGCCCAACATTATGTAATAATATCTGCCCACATGTGTGCGTGGGTGCCTGCAAGCATCTCATAGGAACTGGTCCAGATGCACCAGAGAGAACATTGTCTTTCTGTTATTAAATACTGCAGTTTCTATCATCTGATTGTCATGTCAAACGTCAGTTTCAACCTGCAGTCCAAGCTTTACCATGTCATTCATTCCCTCACTGGAGAATTACCGATGGCTTCTACAGTCACATCTCTGTGTCAGGGGACCTGGAGGGAGCAAGGCTGAACAAGCCAGTCTTGACATCAGCACAGTTTCACTGAAGACATGGAGCTGTAAGAAATTAAGTAATAGTATAAGAGATAGGATGACTAAATATTAAGTTTGCTTGTATTAAAAAAATGGTGGCACTATCTCTGTGACTTTTGTGTCTCATTCTTCCTGTGAGTTTTCAGTTTGCAACACAAACTCTTTGAAGAACACAAATAATCTGAAGGTAGCAGAAGAGTGACGTGGGCGTGATTTTTTTTTAATCTGTTGCTTTCATTGGTTAATTAATAAAAAAACTGCCTAGGCCCATTTGATAGGCCAAACCTTAGGTGGGCGGAGTAAACAGAACAGAATGCTGGGAGAAAGAAGCTGAGTCAGGGAGTCACCATGATTCTCCCCCTCCAAACAGACACAGGTTAAGATTTTCCCTGGTAAGCCAGCTCGTGGGCTACACAGATTATTAAAAATGGGTTAGATCAATATGTAAGAGCTAGCCAATAAGAGGCTGGAACTAATGGGCCAGGCAGTGTTTAAAAGAATACAGTTTCCGTGTAATTATTTCGGGTAAAGCTAGCCGGGTGGCGGGACACAACCCCGCTGTTCCTCGTACAACAGAAGGGGGACAGAGGCCTTTCATGGCTGGAGAAGTGAATGTGTACATAGCTCATAGAGGAGGAAACTCAGAAGGGAAGAAGTTAGAGTAGGTGGAAGCCAGACCGCTATGGAAGACTGGCCTTGATGCTTGAGACAACGGGAAACTGAGGAAGGTTTTGATGAAGGAGTAGTACGAGGGCAGTGACTCTGTGTAGAGCCCCATGTCACGGAAAGATCCCCCATACAACATGGCTGGACTGACCATGCCAGCTGTCATGATGAATTAGTATAGGTTTCCTCATTACAACATAAGCATGATTGAATCACTGTACCCAAAATGAAACATCTGATAAAGTCTGAGCAATGAAACAAAACACGCATGCACACAGCAAACAATGGTCATTGTGAAAACCAAGTATGCATAAGCATCAGAAACCACAGGTTTGTGTGCAAAGGAAAGACACGGGTGTGTCACGGGGATAGCTCCATGCCTACCTTTAGTGTAGTGCTGTTTACAACAGCCAAACAGCCAGAATCAAGCCACGTGCCCATCAGTGGTTGAATGGGCAGAGAAAATGCAGCATGTATACTGAGAGGAATACTACCCAGCTGTGAAGCCTTGCCGTCTGTACAATACCATGGACAGAAGGGAATTGTGCTAGGTGAAGCAAGTCATGCATGCAAGTCAAATATGCCATGATCTTACTTAGAGATGGAACTTAAAATTGTAGAGTCCAAAGAAGTTGAATGTGGAATAGTGATTACTAGAGGCTGCAGAGGGCAGAGAGAAGGAAGGGCTGAGAAAAGCATAGTCAACAGGCAAAGTGCTAGTTATATAAGGAGAAAAAGATGGTGTTTTGCTCAAAGCAACCAGAAGAGAAAAAAACGTGAACATACTCACTATAAGTCCCGGTTTCTGGCCTCCATCTTTGGAGGCCCTGCCCCTGTGCCCGCCAAAACTTGACCCCTCCCCCGAGGACGGACAAGGTAGCTGCCAAAACCTTGACCACTCAGCCAGTCTATTTAAACTGCTCCCTGGAAAGTCCCTTCGTAGTTTTCCTCATATCTCTCCCCGCCACCCAGTATTCACTTCACAGCTTCCTGGTTCCCCTCTGGGCCACCCAAGAGCACAGGAATCCCATTAAACCTGGACCTCCTTTAATGCAGCTCATTGTCATTTGGCTTGATTGGGATTTTTGCATTAGCAGAGAGCTCTCATTATGAAAATTCCTAACACTCACCATGCTTAATATGATGTCTGTGCCAATTACCTGGACTTGATCACTATACAATGTTTTGAGTTGAAGCATCAGTGTAAGCATAAATATACAGACACCATTTATTATAAACACATAAATATAATTTTAGGTATGAGCAAATATTTAAAATAAAAATTCTAAAAGTCAAAGGAATCAGAAACATGCATTTATTGGTACTGTCCCAAGTTCGATGGACTAACAACATTCCATACCAGTGAGCACTCGGGAGGAAACGGATGTTAAACTCCTGGTATGGTTGGAAATTAGCATAGTCCTCTTGAATTAGGGGTCCAGAGTCTCCCCAGAGAAATGTGTAAGACAGCCTGGCTCCAGGTCTGTGTAAGAGATGTTCAGCCAGGCTCCAGAAAGGAAGTTTTGCTTTCCTTCTCCGTTGTCATGGTACCAGACAAACTCCTTGTTTGGACAGTTGTTTGCTTATTTGAATGAGTGAATAAATAACCCCAGAGGAAAACCAGTCAGGAGCCACTATTGGTCCAACATGAAGTGGAACAGGGACTTAGGAAGGGAGTAGTCAGCGGGCAAGGACAGACCCAACAGGATG